TCAATACCGATCGCCAAGTATGTACATATATAATAAAACTTCCATAAAAAAGATACAGCGATTCAATGTGTAATTTACGAGGCCGGCGATATTTCGGAGCAGATAATGCGCTCATCGAGCCGGTGTGAACTGCGCCGAGTGCTCCGCGTGCTCCCAAGAGCAATTGTAAATGCATCAGCGTCTATTAAAACTGCAGACACGATTGAAATCTATTACAACATCGTAAAAGGTGCACTGGTAAACAATAACAGCAACGAAAACGAAAATAGAAACGTTTCGAGCTCCAGCAGTCGATACATGTTTTTGTTACGATCACGCTACACATAAAAAAATCGTAACATTATTACAGCTGCGAATGGCCGTAGAGCATTGCCTCATTTGCCTCTTATTTGCTGGCTACCGCGAATACACACGCGGCTCAGTAATATATTCCGTAAGATGCATCGGTATATATGAATATAACCGGCCGCTGTGTACGTGGCATGCGTGATCGGTGATTGACAAAAATTTTTTCCCTCGCTCGACCACTTAAATCGCTATCTTGGCTCGTCGAAGCAGCGAGCTTGTGTATTGCAGTATGTACGGGTGTGTGCGCGCGCGTGTTTATGCGCGCTATATTGCACGTGAGCTCGTTGGAAAGATCTCTGTGCGGTTCTCTGCGTGCGCAAGATGAGTTCGCTTGGAAATTTCTTCGCTTCTTGGCATATAACGCAACTTGTGTACGTACGCTGGGCTGTTATGTAGCATCGCGCATTTCTCCTTCAATTCTCTGTTTTTTTTTACTTTTTTCACCGCATGATTTTCATTGGCAAGTTTTTCCGCATTATAAAGTGTATGTGTGTGTACAAGCGATATCGAAGAAGTCGCGCGGCTCTTCGATAATTTAGCAATTAGCATTCGCGGCGCGCGCTCGCCACGTTGTGCATTACTTTTCCATGCCCCGTGGGATAGGATCGCCACTGTAAATGGACGAGCATGATTTTCTCGATGATAATCCACGTTTACGCAGCTGTAGCAGCAGCAGCAACGCGTGTGTATAACGCGAAGAACGAAACGATTTCCGCGCCAGTTTATTCCGCATGCGCGCGTCTTTTTCGTCTCATTGTTTTTCAAGAGTTTCGCGCGAGCGCGAGTCGATCGAGCTTCAAACGAGATCAGACCGTTATGTGCTGCGGCTGGTTTTATATATATATAGAGATGAATATTACGTGAGTCGATTTTGATCGATCTTTCGAACGCGATATTCCGTTATCGAGCGTATATGGAAACACGATTTTTGCCCTGTTACGAGGCAATCACGCTTAAAGTGTCGCCAATCGATTCGTGCGTTGTAAATAACAGCTGCACGAGAGAGTAGTAACAATTTGTCGGATCACGTGCAAACAAATGATTTTATAATATCTCACTCCTTTACACTCGGAGAGAGCACTATCCCCTTTGTGTATAATGAATAGTTATAGTTGTTAGTTTTTTTTTAACGACGTTCTTTGAGTGTCATCAGTGCCGCAAAATTTAACGATAAAATTATCGCGCTTCGCCTCGTTATATGACCATCTTAAGCGCACTTTTTTGCCGTTGGAAAAAAGTAATGACTCAATGGAAAAAAAACTACCGTGGTCGCGCTAATTTACTCGCAGAATATTAAGAATAAGAAGAATTTTTTTGAATATTTTTTTCAATAGAAATGCATCTTGTTAATGTTTTTCAAAGTTGGTGATATAATTTTGTTCAATAATTACATTATATAGTTGATATAATTGAATCAGGATTGGTGCTCATTTTTCTTAAAGAAAAGATTTCTATATACCTGCTGTGGAATGACCTTCCAATGGCTCAATCTATAAATAGATTTTGTATCAAAAACGATCATCTTTAGATATAAATACCTTCCGGTAGAAATATGAGATTGTAATAAGTACTTCGTGGAGCAAGTGCTCGCGCATCATCTTCATTCCAGTCTGAGATTGTGACCATAGAATACAACTTTTCTCTCTTTCTCCTTCTCTCTCTCTCTCTCAGATTATTCGATTTCTTCTTGGCATTATTTATAAAACGCACTCGAGTTGTTAGAGCTTGCTCCGTATGAGACTCTCTTTCTTTCATATTACGTATCTATACTCGTTTCCATTTTTGAGAAAAAAAAAAAAGAAATAAAAAAGATAAATTGCAGAAGGGAGCAAGCAGGTGAGAGACGAACATGCGTCGTAACAAATTTGCTAAAGAAAAAAATTCTGCCTCTGTTTTAAAAGTACCATTTTTAGATCAATTTTAGTGTGCAGTTTTGCAATATCTGAAAATAATAATAACTACCGTATTGCACTATTAAGATTAGAATTTCATTATTCATATTGCGATGCACAATACATTCAGTAGCGATCCCATTGCGGTGTGCCTCGCATTCATTAGGTGTTATACCGCGTGATTTTGATGAATTAAGTACACTCGAATGAGGCTTTGATGTCAATTATGCCCGCAGCTTGACAGGTACTCAATTGAGTATTACCTCATTTATAAGAGTAATATAGTTAACTTAATAAAAGATCAACCACATGTTTGGCTTTACAATCCTTTCATCGGATCAATTAATCATAAGACCTTTCATCCAAATGTATGAGCATATGGAGATATACTGAAGTACGTGATTTTAAATGGTGAAAGTAAATCAAAATTCAACGAAAGAGCAATAGAAGTAGTGAAACAATGCATGAAAGAAAACAGACGACTCACGTTGATAGAATTAAGGGAATCCTGTGGGCTGCTAGCCCGCCGGACCCTGGAATCAACTTCTGCCTCCAGGTTGACTTATCCAAGAAGTTAATAATCGAGCCCACACGTCGTCTTCTTCGGTCGCTCTCTATTGTAATTTTTTGGATTTATTATAATCAAGTTTTATTGCACTCAAAATGTGAGTGTGTATGTATATACGATCATATACGCACGCACGCACTCGCACACAATACACGTGAATTATCTGGCCGTCGGATCGCGATTCGAATCAATGTAGTACCGTCGTGAAATTCGCTTGCTCGATGAAATATTTTTTTTCTTTCAAAATCATTATAACCCGTAGTACGTGTATTGACGAAGAATCGAGATCGCGCGCGCGTCAAACTCGCGGAGTCACTTGCAATCGGGCCGCAACAACAATTTCGGCAACGGTGCAGCAGCAGCAGCAGCACGCGATGAAAAAGTATAGCGATGACGATGAATCGTGCAATGTTGCAAGAAGCACGTGGACGTCAACGACGATGATAAATCGTATAGCATGGTTTTTATGCCACGGTCCTTTTATGTATATTCCATGCGCACTACCAATATTAAAGCGCGTGTGTATACACAGACACAGGACTCGCATACACGTATGTTTGCGTGCGTGCGGGCGCCCGTGTGTGTGTGTAAGTGAAGTATATATATGTGTAAACGAAAAAGCGAAGAAGAGAATGAGAGAGGATTTCTGTATACAAAGTGCGGACGCGGCTTAGACACTCTCGCGCCAGTGAGTAACTGTGCCGATGCAGAAAAAGGAGTTTGCGATAGCGCGCGCGTTGGCTGCGAAAAGCAGCTCTCTCGTACATAGCATGTATGTATAGCGAGAGATTGAGAGCGAAAGAGAGAGAGAGAGAGAGAGAGAGAGTAGAAAAAGAAATAAAGAGAGGTGTGTGTGTGTGTGTGTATGTGCAGTACACGATATATATACCGAGACCGGCGCCGATCGCGGCCTGACACTAGTGCGCTTACACTGCAGGTATTGTCGGTGCAGCAGATCTCTATAAGCCGAGCACGCGAGCTACCCGCGAGCTGCCCCCTTACCTGCATCCTATATACACACACATGCGAGTGCGAGTGCGAAATTAGTTCAGACGCGTATACGTGTACAGTACACAGTATGTAGGTATCGTGGAGGTACATGCACATAAGTGTATGCACATCCCTACTCGCGCGACTGCGAGAAGCCTTCCTCCGCGGCTTGCCCCTCTCCCTCTGTCTTATTGCGAGCTGATAACGCGTATGCGATATACAGTTCAGCGGCTGCGGCTACTTACTACTCATCGAGCTCTGATATACACAAATGCACCGTGCATGTGTGCATGAAATACGCGCAAACGCGTCTCTCTCTCTCTCTCTCTCTCTCTCTCTCTTTTGTTTTATATGCATTACCCCGCGCGCCGGCACAGAGCACGACGAGCAGTAGAATAAGAGAGAGAGAGAGAGAGAAAGAAAAAGCTATGAATCTCGCCTCTGCTGCCTCGTGGTTACCGCCCATTTAATGACCAACGGGCGAAGCTCGCCCCTCTATCTTCTTTTATACGTCAGGCCTGTGGAAGCGGTGGCAGCTTGCCTCGGCACATACACGCACACATTCAATGAAATTCTATATATAATACGTTCCCCCGTTGTCGCATACAAAGGTATATTTCGGTGCAAGGCAACGCATGCGCGCACCTTTTGCTCAGACGATCGTGCAGCATTCGCGAACTGTTCTATATGTAAAGGATGTCCCAGCACACGGCGCGGTGCAAGCGAGGATTTTCCAGGATCGCCAATTCAGCGACATCTGTTGGGAAACGAATGAAAATTTTTTGCGCAAATTTATGCTCGCGATAAGACGAATTTGATATTATCGTCGGTTGGGTTTTTGGTGTAGTTTTATATACATGTCTCAAGCTCGCAAGCAATCGACTAAATCTCCGAAAGGAAAATGAGCATTACACAGCATATTTTCATAAACATAATTTATATGTACAATTCACTTACACAGTAACAATTATTACAAAAATAATTAACAAGTCGAAAAATATTTTCTATTTACAATTGAGAATCGATAATAATCTCAACTAATGGACATAATGATAAACATATAATTTTCATAAAACTATGTTTATCATTTTGTGCCAATTATATCTAATAGGAACGAGTACTTGAAATTATTTTCAAGTTATAATATATATAACACGATCAGGAATTTATATAGATATCATAAAATTATGATTTTATGATATGTATATAATATGTAAGGCACGATAACAATTTTTTCTGACACATATTACATATGATTATTTAAAAATTATTTTTGGTTAATTAAGTAAGGAGTAAAACTCTGAACTTACTTTTTAAACTTAATTAAAGTATCGGTAGAAATTCTTTCCTACCCTATCAAGTACTCGTTTCTGCTAAAATTAATTTATACATTATTAAAAGCGACGCCCGTGCCAATTATATTGTGCATGCGTAACTTGCTGGTTAAAGTCATTTCTCTCTGTCAACTTTTCAGTTTTCAAGGCTTTTGCCCTCGCTTTTTCCGCTAGTTTTTCGCTTTTTAGCTTCTTACGAATCTGTTGCTTGTAATGAGTTTGCGCATGTTTCTTCAAATGATCACTCCGACTGAATGCTTTGCAACACTGTACGCATTTGAAATTCTTTTCGCCCGTGTGTGTCCTCATGTGTCGCTGCAGCTCGTCGGATCTTGTGAAACCTTTGCCGCACATAAACCAGGTGCATTTGTAGGGTTTTTCACCGAAGTGATGCCTCAGATGAGCCTTCAAGTGAGATGTCTTTCCGTACTGCTTTGTGCAACCGGTCACATGACAAACGTGAATTTTCTTCCCGTCCGGGCCAAGTGCGGGATTTGAACTTTTGCAATTTGTACAAGTGCATCTGCATGTTTTTTTCAATGCAGGATAGCAGAAATTTTCGTCGGGACTCGACGAGCAGTCAGGCGAGACGCTGTCGGGCGGTGTCAGTGGCTGATACGTTGTTTCCACGAGTTGAGGCTCTGGCTTTATCGTCGCTGCTTGGAACGTCAACGACGGCTGTGGTGGACAGTCTGCCCAACCTAGTTGTTGATACGAAGGTATCGGAACGGGGACGACAGCCTCCATATTGCTTGCCTGGGACTGAGGATTGAGAATTGGCAAGACATTCGGTTGTATTGGTGCAGGGTAAGCTACTTCGAGTTGCTGCACTGGTTTACAGTCCAAGTTAGTGTAAGTTTTAGGCTCCGTTACGTATGCAGGTGTTGGTATCGGTTGATATCCAAATGGTTGCCACGTATATTGCCCGGGGTTCGAGTATGGCCCGTTGTTGTTGTTGTTGATAATGTTGTGCATAAGATTGCTGTTATTGGTATTCATAATAACACTGTTGTTGTTGTTGTTGTTGTTGTTGTTGTTGTTGTTGGCAGTGTACATAATGTTATTGTTGTTGTAAGAACCCCCTTGACAATAATTATACATATTCGAATAATGCCCGTTAGCACCTGACTCCTATAACAAAAATCAAATATTTTTATGTTAATTAAAATTTTTTCAATTCACGATATACGTTATAGAAATTAAGAATAATATCTTCAGTGATAGTTTTTAATCTCGTTTTCAAAAAAGTCCAAGTTGAAGAATGATTTAAATTTTTTAAGACAGTCACCAGATACCGAATTAATCAACATGCATTTTTTAATTCCTAAAGATTTATCAATTAACATCATAGAATTTTTCATTACCTGAATATAATTATTATTGTTTGCAGGATTCATTTTTACGACAGCTTATTAAACATTTAACAAACACAAGCACTTTTCTCACTAGTGCACTTAACACTAAGCTGCTTTGCAGCAAATAACAATTAATTTCAACAATGCAGTAAAATATTCGATAAAACTGCACAAATTAGTGCAAAGCTTGCTTGAAAAACAATTTGTCAGTTTTTTCGTATTTCACTGTTATATCGAATTAGTCTGCACTGTGCTCTCTCGTGAGATGCTTGTTTTACACTAAACCATGGACCTACGCCGCGGCACATGTGCTCTTCCCCGGCCCAAAATTTTAGTCGAAAAATTTTTGGAAGGGGAATGGAGTAGGGGATAGCGCGACCTAGGACCGATTGCCGTCCCCTGCAGAGCTAAGCGTAGCTCAGTTCATTCATAAGCTATTCAACAAAGATTTATAGCACGTATTCGATTATGTTAATTCAATATACGTTGCATCGAGTAATCTCGATGTCACAAAATCAATAGAAAGCGCGTGGAATGCAAATGAGCCTGAGACAATTAGATTCCAACAATATGAAGAACACACTTCACGCGCGCGTGCCGCAGTGAACATGTACTCGAATTATGTCATCTTCTTCTTAGAAAAGAAAGATAAGCATCTTAAGCTGACCACGAAAATCTATTATTCTGGAAAACACTTGTGGTCACACGTTTCCGAAGCACGAAAACAAAAGTCTGGTTATTCTCAAATTTAAAAAATATTTTTCCAAAATAAATAATGCAAAATCCATAATAGGACTTTACTTATGACAAGAATAAATAACTTTTAATATTTTTGTCCCGGCGTTGAGAGGCAAACATCAAAAGAACCGCACTGGGCCTATACATCTATAATTCTATTATTTACGTGGATCATACAAACGATGACGAAATTTGCATAAGGCGTCATTAGAATTCAGCAAAATAAAGGATATTAATTATTATCGAGTGCCTTTCCTTTATACGCTAACATATTGCCCCAAGAGTATAACATATATTTTTAAAACTCCTGAATTTCTCTCTTTCGTTCTCGCTCTTCATATTTTGCGTATCTGGGTAAAGCGTTGATTTTAATACGCGGATTGGGACCTTTGAATTTATGTACTCGAGACATGCTGCATATGTATATTCGTCGGCTCGTCTGTTTCTTGAAGTTGCTTTAGTCAGGTAACAGTCGTTTCATCGGGTATAAAAAATGGCCCAAACGATTTTTTAAGTGCACGATGCTTCCGCGTTTGTGGCTTTGACTTGGCAAAGTAGACATTTTTATAGTTTTAACTGGAAATTTTTAACAGTATTCGTCTATATTTTTTGTATACTTGCAGTCGTAAAAGGGTGCAAGTGAATAATATTTTTTTCCTTTAAAATATGCACCTCTTGCAGCATTAAAACTAGTATTGACTCAAGAAATTTATTTTTACTGAAAAATATGACTTGAAAAAATTCTATAATATTGTTGTCATTTCATTTTTATTGTAAAAAACGAGCAGCAAATGTGTGAGAAAAAGTAGGAAACGGAAAGAGATAGTCATCCAATCCTTGAATGACCATAGAATAATGTACAATTGTGTACTTTTGTGTGAAACGATGGACCCCATCCACCTGTAGCGTGATATTTTTCAGCAGAACGAATCTTTTCTTTTGAGAGAGAAACTGGATCGTCGAATATGTTCAGGTGTTAAATCTAAATTTGAGTAGTTTTTGATGTCCCGCTTTCGTGATCATGTTTTTTTTTGGTGGCGTTTTCAGAAATTTTCATTTCATGACTGGTTTTGACATAAAGGTCTTTTTAAAAAAAATTTTTTAACACAGATTACTCGAATAACTTTTGTTACAGATATTTTTATATTCAAAGGAAAATCAAACCTCATGGATAATATACGTGCTTCAATATTTACTATTGCAACGCGGAGGCGTTGTCCAGTGACAAGATTTTCACTCTTAACAAATGCACGTGTTGATTTTTTACTTCAAGATAGAATGATTGCAATACATGTTATCTTTAAAAACTTAAATAAGAGTTTAACAGTTCATTCAATTAAAAATACTACAAATAGATGAATAACTTAGCTTAAGGACGTTGGGGACGCAACCGAGTTCAAATCAGTAACTATCAAGAAACAGCGGAAGGATAGTTACTTGATTTGACTAGGTAGCTCGGTGGTATCATAGGCTCTCAGCCAATACACATGCTATAACGCGTATTTTTGTCTGCTGCTAATCTCTCGAGTTAGATTGCATGTAGAGCAGACACAAAATTTTTTCATTTTTATAAAATTACTTTGAAATATGCTCGTGAATATACAATATAACCGATACCATTTGAAAGGTAATGATTTCATCTTTCATTATGCGAGATTTGGTCACGATTTCCCATTTTGACCTAAAGTTACACTTAAAATTGTATGAGAAATCTGAGTTTTCCTATGATTTCCATGTTAAAAAGTGTACTTTTGATATTAAATTATACAAAAGTTCATTCGCAATCGATGCTAAAATTTCGAGAGAACATTATGAGTGTTATCAACTATCAAATTCCGAAGTTTCAACTTCGTGGCTTAACTTGATACAAAGATCCCCAACAAACGTCCTTAACGATAAATTCAGGCTTTGAGCAATCAAACACATGCTAACTAAATCATTTTAATCAGTCACGACGCCTACGCATGCTGATATTTCTATAAAAAATGAGGGTATTAGTTCGGTATTTATAAACTTAAAAAATTGTTTGGAATTTTAGATCAAATCAAATCAATTGGAGATTTTAAGTCTCATGTGATCATGCTCATTTGTTCTTTTTAAGATAAAATTAATGTAATAAAAATCATCCGATTCATTACAATTTAATTGATAAGATGTAATTTCATTTCTATTTTAATTTTAGAGTTTAGTACTCCTTTTATTTAGTTATGCTAATCTTATTAATACGTACTTCGTAAAAGGAGAAAAATATTTCCTTACTGTGACATTCAACTGCACATATAACAATTTCTGTAGATATTATTTTCAAATTCAATCGCGTTTGCCTTTGAAAAAATAGTATTCATGCACAAAGAAAATCAAAGTAAGATGAATAAATGCATCCCTTGCTACTCCGAACAGAAAAGTTAATTTCAAGGAATCGAGCCAGTGAGGTAAGTCATCATTGCATGTCAGGCCCATTTCACTGTGTATATATGTGCGCGCGTATATGTCTGTGTACGTGCACGAAAATCAGTACCGAGACCATTGTAAGCTGCTCGCATTATAATACGAACGCTACGTACAGCAGCAGCAGCGAGTTACGGAGTAATAAATCTCGTCTAAAAAAGCTTACCGACGACAGCTCAGCAACTATATGGTGTGTAAAGCCTATTTACAAGTAGTGAGCCAGACACGCCGTTTTTGCGGCCTTTTTTTCGTGGGCATCGTAGCGGGGGGATCGGGCCGTGTCGGGGTTTCGCACAGAAGCTCACTGAAATATACTCGATTGCGATTCCATTATTGTAGGCTGTAAGTATCGCTCGCGCGCTTACCTACATAGGTTGTTGTACGAATTATATTTTTCTCTATATAATTCATGCTGCGCCGATCGCGCGACGATGACACTGAACTATATACATATATTGGCTCGAGGCTGTGTGACTTTTCGAATAAAGATTGACATCGCGGTTCGTTTCAAAAGTATATACAGGTATACGCATTGCGAGAGATACCCTGCGGTGCGAACGCGGCTGACTTGAAAAAAGCCGCGGCTTAGCTTAATTCGCCTTTAAGGCAAGGAGCAGCCAACAACGCACGCCGCAATAAGATGCTGACTTCGCGGAAGTTTAGCACGCAGTTTAAATGCGTATACGTATTCGAGTATATAGATACATTTAAAAAAAAACCTATACGTTTTAGGGTATTTTTTTAAAGATGTAGCAGAAACGGATCGCTGTATACGCGCATTTTGGACTCCAAAAGATTACCACTGCTGCTCTGCGAATTCAAGATCGCGTTTTTATATGCTTGTGGGAGACATTTCTAGCAACGCACCACGTTTCTGCAAACCCGTGAACCAAAATAAATTATTGAATGGGTCAGCGCATCAAGCATCAATTTTTATCCCTTGTCAATCAATGATCTCTTGAATACTCGACATTTTCCAGTGAAATTCGTTAGGCGATTTTTTCGGTATGATAAGAAATTCAAATTATTCGTTATAATACAGACAGAAATTAAAAATTCTCTCCCTCTTGAATCAAAATTAATAGAACTGATGGATTTTTTTTAAATAAAACTTTGATTTCGTAAATAATCAATTACTTAATGAGACGCGCCTGTGGGGCAATTATAATTTAATGTAATCTAACTGCGCTGCTCGTACCTGACTCTGATCGAATAATATTAAGTGTTGGTAAATCGTATAATGAAAGTTTTAGGACAGATGTCGCATGAGTACTGTAGTTGGTAACTGTAGATTTTGCTTCCTACATTCCAGCGCGAGAAATGTATCGACCGTCGTTCTCTTAACCGACATTTCATGCGTAAATTTTCGATTTTTATTTATGACAAACAATACATAAAAAAATTTCCAAAAATTGTGAAAAGTTAATGAGGAAAAAGTCCAAAATGGAGAGATTAAGTGTTTTTAATTAGTAAAAGCTTAATAAAGAGTTTTAAAAATTGTTTCATTCGATCAAATATATTTTTCAATTGATCTTTTACAATTGATCATCACAATGGATAATAGATGTTATCAGTGACAGTAAAATGTTTTGAGTTCCAAATAAATTTATTGATAGCGATCAGATGTGGAATTGATTTTTTCAAGTTTTTTGTCCGATGAGCACGAACAAACTATTTTTAACATTGATGTAACGTAAACACGCCGATTTCGAATTCTAAAACTCTATTTTTAGCAACACAAAAGGAAAGTAAAACTTCGAAAAAATGTACACGTCGACCAGTTATATATTCTCAATTTTGGCAAAACTTTCAGATTTCACGTCAATTTCATATTCGATGCTCGATTCATACATTTCCCAAATCATATTGCTAGTTGAAAAAAATGGGTCAACTTTATCTCTCAAAGATCTATTTTTTTTTAATGAAACGCCGAACAATTAATGTCTTAGTACATTATTTCGAGAATAGACCACAAATCTCGTAAAAGTTACTCTCCCTCGATTTACCTTGCGACGTTTCACAATTTGCACTCGTGGCGCGAACACAGTTTTGCGGCAATTTAGTCGTCAGTGAAGATCTCTTTTAACGTATAATATATATATTGCTATTACATCGTGTGTACATTACATTAACGTGTGTGAGTGTGCGTAGTTTGTGGTTGTGTGCGGGATCCGCACTGACTCGATCCTATTATGTATACAAATCGTCTGCCAAGTGCCATATAGGCACTGTATGCTATGTGCTCCGCCGATCTGGTCATACACTAGCCCGACGCAGCTGTATACTGTAAAGACTGCCGATTATACGTACAGATATATAACGTAGTATTTTTCGCACACAAGTGTTATTTACGTTGCGCCGCGCTCTCTGCTGCTGTCGTGCTTGCCGGTGTTTGATGCCACTCGTGCGTGAGACTTACATAAAATAGTCAATTTGGCTTGTGAAGAATGTTTCTTCTGGCCCCAAGTACAAACTGTGATAGTCGTCGTGACGGTAAAAACAGCATCATGAGGTTTCCCGTTGTTGTTAGCCTTTTGGTAAGTCTTGCCACTTTTCACGAATTATTCGCCGTGCTATATGAATTCTGGACTTTCGAGCGAGACGATAACATTAGCAGCTGCCGCGGCTTTAACTACGTGCAAATCGCGATGTCGTCGCGCGTGAACGCGTCATCTGCTTCGGAGTCTAGACTCGCGTTGCTGTTTGATGCATCGTCTTTTTTTCCTTTTTTTGCAACACTCTGGCACAAATCAGCTAACAACCGAGATAACCTCCATTAGTGAGGATAGCATAACCTATATCCTTCGCAGGGTTGGGTCAGATGCGAAAATTTTTGCGAATTAAAGATCCGTTACAGCTGTTTTTTTTTTTCGAAAAGTTTTCGCCGAACTATTTAAAACCATACAATAGTTTTGTTGTTGTGACGTGGATCAAATCATCTAGCATCTTTCAAATCCGATCGTTTTGTTGAATTTAAACAACCGCAAACAAATTATCAAAATGACGAAGACAGTCAAAAGTCGGAAAATGGATTTACTGTATTATTGTTTAATGCTATTTCAGATATTTGCTTATTGCACAACGTTTGTTAGTGGAGGTGCAACACCCATAACACAAGATAATATTGATATGACTTTAGGTAAGCATTTTACTCCTTTTCATCAATCTTTCATAAATGTGAATTTTATCAAAACATTTTATTTATTAAACTATCATTTTTTTTCAGCCTCTAATGAATTAGTATTTTTAAATTTTTATGCTGAATGGTGCCGCTTCAGTAATTTATTACAACCAATATTTGACGAAGCTTCTGAAAAAGTGAAGCAAGAATTCCCTCAAGCTGGTAAAGTAGTTATGGGCAAAGTTGATTGTGATAAAGAATGTAAGTAATGATAAATAATATTAAAAAATAAACGTATTTCCTGAGAGTAATCTTTGAATTTCTATAGCTGGAGTTGCATCAAGATTCCACATCACAAAGTATCCAACGCTGAAAGTTATAAGAAATGGGGTACCATCAAAACGAGAATATAGAGGACAAAGGTCTGTTGAAGCGTTTGTTGAATTTATCAAAAAACAACTCCAAGACCCTATTAAAGAATTTCATCAGTTATCTGAACTTCAAAATCTTGATGATAAAAAGAGAATGATCATTGGGTATTTTGACAGCAAAGATGTGCATGAATATGATGTTTTCAGACGTGTTGCAACCAACTTGAAAGATGATTGCCAATTTCATGTTGGCTTTGGGTAAGAATACTTTTATAATACTTCAAAATTAATTAACATATTATTAAGTCAGATGTAAATATTTACATCATTCAAATGATTATTTTATTATAATATTATTTGAAAAATTATAGAATAATTATACAATATATTGATATATACTATATTTGCTTTATTTATGAAGAATGTGTTCCAAAGAAAAATGTGATATTGGACAGCATTTTACTGTGCTGTAAGTTTTTTAAGTAATCTAAAATGTAGTCGATTTTTCATTTCATACTGCATTTGCAAATTCCATTGTCTTGCACAGAATTTTTGTATTCATTATTTAGAATTTCGGGATTAACACGAATGATTTTTAGATTAGTTGTATAGTCATCTTTTTTCAAGATTATAATGTTTTCTTAGTACTAGTGTAATAAGTTTATGTCTATATAAGTTTCATATAAGAGAATTTTATTAACTTACACACCATACCAATTTTCTACAGGGATTCAAGTAAAGCAATGCATCCACCAGGTCAACCAATCATTGTATTCAGATCTGATAAAGCTCTGTCTAACGATGATGATGAAACATACAATGGAAATATAGCCAATTATGATGATCTGAACACTTGGGTTCAAGAAAGGTGTGTACCTCTTGTCAGAGAAATTACATTTGAAAATGCAGAAGAATTAACAGAAGAAGGATTACCTTTCCTCATTCTTTTCCACAATCCCAAAGATACGGAGAGTGTAAAGCAGTATAAAAGTATTGTCAAATCTACACTTCTAGATGAAAAACGTGAGTAATATTTAAAAAATTATGATAAAAGTACAATGTAACAAATGTTTGATTTGAATAAACTTTTCAGCTAATGTGAATTTTCTAACTGCTGATGGCATAAAGTTTGCTCATCCTCTTCACCATTTAGGAAAAAGCACATCAGATTTACCTTTGATAGCTATTGATAGTTTTAGGCACATGTACATGTTCCCCAAATTTGAGGACATGTTTGTCCCAGGTAAATTAAAAAGCTTTTTACAAGATCTGTATTCTGGAAAATTGCACAGAGAATTCCATTATGGACCTGATGAGCCAAGTAACGATAACAGCCTTCATCAGCATGGAGGGCCAACTTCCCCACCTGAATCAACATTTAAGAAATTGGCTCCCAGTAAAAATAGATACACCTTATTAAGGGATGAGTTGTAAATATATCTCTTTAAAAAACAAATTGCCTTTGACTAACAGTTTAGTCAAAAACTGAATTGTAAATTTATCATCTATTATGGAGATGAAAATTTTTTACGTACTTTCGATTAAATCAAAGAAAAGTGAGCTAGTTGGTAGAATAATAAACTTTAAAGTACCATCATGCTATAAGTACAATCCAGATGAACTTCCAACTAATGGTGTGATAGAAGTAATGATGCAATGAATTTGAAGAATGTGTTTGTTGAAAATTTAATCTAAAACACTTTTTTAGCTTTGGTATATTCTAAGAAACTTATTATCTCTAAAGTAATTTCAGCATGCATGAAGAAATGAATGAATCTAAGGAGAGATAATTTTTTATACATATTTTCCTATAAGCGTGTGATGGTAATGGTCAAATCTTATAGTCCACTTCACTCAAAGTATTTTGATTTATAAGTTAACGTTAAATTCTGATATTTAAACTTTCAACAATTCTAATTCTGATTTTAGAAATTTTACATACTTTGAAAATTATTTTCAAGAGCACGAGTGCGTTTTATCTAATATGTCCATTGAAAAATTAAAGGAAATTTGAATTGACTGGTGTATCATTTATACATTTAACGAACTGTATTATTGAGTTAAATTATGTAAACTTTATTAGAATTAATTTGTTAACGCACAGTTTTGAAGATCTTTAATCATTCTTCGATTCTGTTGCATAGCTCACAATTGTACATTAGATAAAAAGAGGCTATGAATTTTGTGTTTGTTTCTCGAAGATTTGTTAGGCGTGTTTGTTTTTTATAACAAGTTACTAAACATCATTCCTACACCACAAGTACCGAATTTCTGATTTTAACAAGTCTGGTTTTAAACACAAATAAATTTCAAAGATTTATATAAGATTTAATTATGCGCGTCTAAATTTTGTTTGCGCATTATCCATATGTGTTGTTTCAAATGCTTATCAATTTTAAGCTTTGATAATTTTTTCATGATTTCTATGAATGTTAATACATATACATTTTTAATATGTGTAATTTTTATATCCGGCATGTGTATATATAGTTTCGAAAGGCTACAATAAATATTAAAGTATAAAATACATCTAATTTATTGATCTTTTCTTCCTCTGAAGGCGATGGAAGCCATTTTTAGTTTGTCCTCCAAGTCGGTAAGGAAGAGCAAACCAGCATCTCTTACGTAAGAGACGGCAGATCCTTCTTTGTACGGAATAATCTTGACATGAAGTTTTGTAGATTTGGCATTTTAGTCCTCCTATACCGCTGTAAAAAAATACTTGAGGGAATAATTTGATATCTAAAAATTAAATCGACACACAACGATTTATCCATTATAAAATGGCTGTATTTTGGGATGGGGTAACTTGATATACATGTATTGCAATCCATTCGCATATTATGTATATATATATATATATATATATATATATATATCGTTATATTTTTGTATAATAATGTGCACGTTGTATCATATCGCTTGCACAAAGATTACCATTTTTTGTTTTCTTTGCTGAATATTTTTATAATGGATTATAACTAGTATTACAGGTATAAGAACTTGATTTACATACACATAACATCACACATACGCAGCATATTATGTATTCTATATTAATTTATTATGAATTATCACACGTCGCATCACTCGCAGCTTTTCGTTTTCGCTTTCCCACTCTTCATTTTTTTCTTCTTTGCATACTACAAACCTCTGAACCATAATTCAAATTTTTGTTTTAATTAAATTGTTTTTTTGTTCATGTTATAATTTCTTATAAATTTAGTTATTGACGACGAAACGTGGATGGAGTTAATTTAATAATCAATAATATTATCACCTATTTATGTTTCGTAACCCATAATTTTGACTTCGTTTCTTGCATAAAAACGAAATAAATCAATAATCATTCGTTTTCTCATACACAGATGAAGTGAAGAGTTACAAATAAGGTGCAGATTGGCTTTGTGCTTTTTAGAATACAAGTGGTACTTCCAATAATGTTAAAAATCAATCCTCGAATAGTATAATTTAAATTTAACAGTACGATTTTTCCGTCGAAAAACTCCATGCACCAGCACATTTCGCCGTAAAGATAGCAACAATTGAAACATTTTTCGATTCAATGATTTTATATTGATGCTAATCTTTGAATTTGTGTTTTTTTTTGTTTAAAATTCCCTGAAATAGAATATTTATAATTGCTTCTAGAAAAATAACATCACCGCGATTCAATTTATAAATTAATGGGTGATGAATTCGAGGTCATTTTTCATTTTTGTGAAAAAGTGTTATTACAACATTTTTGTATCAAGCAAAAATATATTTAAACGTGTTCATAGATGTCCATTTTGCACAGTACAATATTACTCGTTACCATCAGTTTTAAAATATTCTAATTTTTTCATAATAGTAGTAACGGTACTTATCCTGGACATTTAATGTCAAAAAATGTGACTTTTAGATTACGATCAGTTTCGAATAATTTCTTTGTAGTCGTTTTAGTTAGGATTTTTTGTAACTTTCAAATGTGATGATTTGGCTCAATTTTTTTTTACGCGACTCTATAGTATACTTCTTTATGGACATCAAACTGTCTATTTATGTTTTTTAAAATTCAACTAGTTTTAGTTTTGTCATCCTATTGAATCATCGCATATGTTGTAGAATGCCTAAAGTTGTAAAATACCATGATTTTGATGAGCTCAAAAAGAATTACTTTTCTTTGCACATGTTTACCTTTTTTTGTTAAATGCCTTGTATATTTTTAAAGTATATTTGGATATAATTATAACCGTATAAATTATTAACGTAATTATGTTGGGGAATCTCTAGTCAACAGCTGCGTGTATAAAAAAATTACAAATCATAATGGGTTCCTCTTTCATCGAATTCTTATTATATTCAAACGAAAGAAAGCATTTGCCTTGATAACGACGAATTCATAAAAAATTCAAAACACCTTGTCTCTGCATGATTGTATCTACTTTTTCACAGATAATTATTCGCTCGATCAATGCATAGCAAGTTTCGTTTGTAGTAGTTTTTATGTTTCTCTGCTATAGCTTGTCTAAGTTTAGTATTAGTTTTCAGTTACTTAACTCGTTTATTACAACAACGATTATAAATTACAAATTTCTACTCGTTTGCATTAGTTCTGATCTTCGCTCTGCGTTTCTTGAATTTTTACAATGCAGTACTGATTCGCTGCAAACCTCCATTATTTTTCTTAATGTTGTACAAACACATTTCCAGTGGAATAATTTTAGGATCTTTTAAAAATGACATCATTTTTATCCACAGTTTGATCATTCATAAAATTGACTAGTCGAAACATTAATTTGCATCGGTTTGAGATACTTTGTATCTGTCTCTAATAATCATATGTTCCTTGGTCTTTTTACCATTGGCAATAAGAATTGATCAGCTTGAGTCATTTTGTTGATATATTTTGTATTCAAATTTCTCAATTTTCGAATATTTTCTTATGGGTATTATTCATTGTTTGAGTGTACTTTGTGTATGTGCATTATTTTTGATTGCGACTTAATTAATTATAAGCATTTTAATATTTTCTGTTATATACCTAAATCATTTGAACTATTAAAGGTTTTCATATAACTATGATAGCATATTTAAACCATGGATGGTATCTATTCGGTGCGATGTCTAGAAATAATTAATTCCATTTTTAATACGGACCTCATGATTCAGCTGTCGAGTGATTTCCCAGAATTTTTTTTAACAATCTTCGCATATAATTTTTAAAGGAAGTTGCAAAAAAATCACTTGCAGAAACTAAATAGTATTGTAAATAATTTATAATGATTCATAAAGTTACAATCACTTTTAAATATACTTGCAATTCTTTTACTTTTACTAATAATCAATATTTATCAGTAACAACTGTAAAAATTTCACCTCTTTTCTATGGAAATATCCAAAATATTTCAATAACTTCAAATTTGTCATAAAATATTTACGGTAATTTTCCTAATAACGCGTTATTCTGGCCTATATATTCAAATCGCTCAACGATGCACGTATATAAGGTCGTGGATAATTCTCTGGAAAAAGAACCTTTCAAACGTCTCACGTATATATGTATGATTATATATAATTGTGAACTATAAATTGAAGTAACAACAACTCGCTGCGCTTTTCCAAAGAATAGAGTACCATCATGAAAAATTCATCATGGAAGTGATGATTACTTTCATTAGATAATTTCATTCGGCGTTTTAAAAAAACTTTTTCAATTGAGTTCAAACGGAAGACTCAAATCACAAGTACACATTTGATGCTCTTTAAGAATCGTAATTTTATCATTATTTTCCTATTACGAGCATATTATAACTTCGTTTTCTGAAAATATATTTTTAGCATCATAAATGAAATCTACTTCACTCATAAATTTTTATCAACAATTTAATATATATAAATGTATTAGTTTTTCGAGTATAATGCAAGATTGATTGAAAATATTCAGAATCATTAGAATTTCAAAAAGTATTAAACTGTCAATCTTACAATAATGATCACTTAGACTGGTTTGATACAAGGTGTAAACCTTTTATATCCTTGCTTATTTTCTTGCAAAAAAATTCTCTTGGTAATATCGCATTCTTTAAATCTTAATATAAATAGTAATTAACATCAGTGTCAATGAAAGATCTATATTGAGTGCGTATTTATCTCGTTTTTTGCAATTTTTTATATGTATTCAAATTTTTAATTTTCACTGTAGCAAATTTCGTTTTTTTTTTAACTTTCACCGAAGTGTCGCACAGCAAAATGTATAAAAAATACGTTGCTTGCATTCATTTTGATTAGACTGAAAAAGATCATTTCTGCATATTTGCCTCATTCACTTACACGAACTCACTCATGCATTCAAATTGGAGGAACTTAATCGATATAGTCGGAAATAATGAAAAAATCTTTATATTTTCACTTAAAAAACTCATCTTAATTTACTTGTTCATGCCGTACAACTTGGATTAAAAAATTGCTCTAACTTTCATATTTTGAATTGTTCATGAAAAAACAACAATAGCTTAAAATTAACTTCAATATATTAATTTTATATATATATTTATATTACTTTTTAAGTGTGTCAGTTACACGTGTTCACTGGCGCGAGTTAATCATTCTATTTCACAATGACTAAGTCACGAGTGCATTAGAAACGTCAGAAACGAGCTCAAGATGCCGTTGGGTTATTTTCGTATTTGCATTCCTATTATGTCAAATCATTCGAGTTGTTACGGTACGAGTGCTCACACGTGTATTTTTAAATGAACGTTTTTTGCAAGATTTATAAATATGATATTAAAACAATTCACGTGTGTTGCGACTAATGCCCGTCTATCGTAATTCAATTTATTTTGCTTATGGACGCAATTCAGAATTATTATATTTTTTGCCGGCGATTGGCTAATGCAGCAAACATAACGATAACGAATTATTTATGTATTATAATAGGCCATTTGAACTTTTCCTTCTTGACAAGCGTGCCTCAAATTTTCCCCACCACATTTTTATACTCACAATCTATCATATTTTGCGGTTCATATTGTCATTAGGACGTTATTTTTGTAACAGCTACCACTTGTTAACAATGAACATGAATCATAATTACCATCTTCATTCTTTATCGATAAATTGTGGCATATATTAAACTGACAACTACAACAAACAATTAACATTGTACTATATAATATTTTCTAAAAATTCTTTCTAACAATGATATAATGTGTTTTTTAACAGCTAACTTTGTAAGATATAATTATCATAAAACTACTTCATTCAAAAAATATATATAAATGCCAATGTAATAACCATTTGACCCATTTTTCTTCGCGTTCTGAGCTAATTTATTAATTAAGGATTTTTTAAATCACCCGTGTGAACCTTGGGAAAATTGTTCTTTTTTTTTCGTTAATGTTTCAGTGAAGCACACGTATACTGAATAACAGATTGAACCATCCATTATTGTCGCTATCAATTTCCATCACTCGTTTTTGAATTCATTCAAAATACGAATCCGCCTGCTTCATTTAGAATAACTCATGCAAATCACATATTGAACAAGATATTATTGCTCTATCCAAAAATTAGTATTGATGCTGCGTTGAATCTTGATTGAAGATCTTTAAAGCTTTCGAACGTATCGACGTGAGCAGGGTTCAAAACACAGACGCACACTCGCGCGAATACATACACACTGACACGAATAATCCTTTTGCCGAGGAAAAGTTTAATTCCAATGACCTGTGCGCGCGCAGACACAAACAAACGGTAATGCGACAAAAGACCGAAAGGTCGGGGAGCTCGATAAAGTCACAATTTTCAGCTTGATCCAAGCTCATTCTCTCTCTATAACCGCGCAAATTTAAACGCGTATAGCCAAACATTCCCGGGGATTGTTTATCTCTAATGGTGTGGATCTATCTTTATGCCAATATACGAGCGGCGAGTGAAATATCATTCGCGAGTGCACTCACCGACGCTCCTACAAAAGATATAGCCTAGCATAAACGAGCTGAATACACTTCATATATATATTCGCATACGCACGTGCCACTTGTAATGCGAGCGAGATTTATCGAGTATTCTGTAGACCTGCCACTTTTATGGCGTTAATGCGCTGCAGTGCGAGTGAATTTACTTTGGGCTTGATTTTCTCTCTCGTGTGTATATACGTAACGTATTTAGCTACATCGACTAGATTAGCGTATTTATATATGTTTGCATGCTTACAAGTGTATACAGAAAGTGCACGCAGAATCATCAGGAATGAGAACCGTGCCGTGCGTATATTAGACCCGGCTGTTTTTCTCCATCTTTTTATTAGATATAATACACCATTGGCTTCTTATCAGCGGCAAATGGGCAACGTTTCGTTTATTATTTTTTTTTTTTTTCATTTTGGCGAACTAAATATTATTTAGGCAAACGGAGCTACTAAATGAAATCGAAAAATTGTTCATCCCAGAGGGAGATAGGTCTCAATTTCTTTTATTAATATTTAGCCTACTATGCGTATCGTGTATAATTAATAATTACATAAGATATACATATTATAGACGGCTAACTATTCAAGAGTTTCACGGTTATATTATTTCGTTTGTTAATTTGTGAATATTCTCGTCAATCACTGTTAATATTTGTACTTGACTGGAGGTGCCATCAGCACAGCTGCAGTACAAACAATAGCGAAAAACGTCGGAGAGGACACGATCTACTGATTTTTAGCACCACTCGAATCTTTATGTTATCCCCGAAGATTTGTTGTTTTCTATTAAATTCTATTTTCTATTGAAATTAAATTTTGCAAACTATAATTGAACGAATCTTCGGTTGTTTTTGACACAATAAATCATAATATATTTTTTCTCGAATAATTGAAAAAATCTATACTGAAGTATCCTATTGAAGTTTGCCTAAACACACTGTATAAATACTGTAGAAGAGACGTAAGAAGACGAAGATAAATGTAAACATTTACAATATATTAGTATATATCGGGTGGCTCCGTACGTATTGTTTTGTCACAGTGGCTACTATTATTTTTTTGTCGTCATATAACTCACCTTGATTTTTTTTGCGTAGACGCAAGAGGTCAATGACATTAGTCATACAACCACACATGTACGATATCGCTATACGTCGATCAATACATGCCGTAGAATATATAGCAAAGAATATTACAAATGTAATGCAGAAGTTATAAATTTTTCAGCGGTAACAAAATAACGGAGGTATATTTTATAAATATACGATCATCGGTGCACAGAATTATAAAATTAGATCAGACTTTCCTTTTTCCAAAAGACGTAACAACACAATGAACTTTTCGTTGATTTTATTCATTCAGCAATGCATAGTCAAGGAAATCTGTCTAGTATATTGTATACAAGTACTACATTATTTGTTCATGCTAGCTAACTAATTTTTTCATTTGATTTACGGTATTTTCCATTCGACATTTCTTTTTTTATTATATAAGATCTATAATTTGTCATTTTTTTGTAAAATTGCTAATCGAAGCTCTGTTGATTGTTTCATGGAGCGATCGCTCGCGCGTATGTGCTTATTTTTTTTTTCTTTTGTTAATTGTAATCAGTTTTTTTTATCTTTCACATATAACAAGATACAATATAACTTTCGTAGATTATAGGTAATATTTATCGAATGAAGATTGCGCCGTATTCTCTCATGTTTAATAAATTGAAAAAAAATGAAACAAGTAAAGTTCATACAGTCAATGTAGAAATAATGTATTTTGCAGGCAATGCAAGTTCATTATACAAAATGCGAAAAAATCCATTGTTACACCTAATGCAGCGTAACCGAGTCGACTCACAGTCACACTCGTAGAAAAATAACGTATACATTATAGAAGTAGAAATATGTACGTGTCCAACGCTCGCTCAAGTGTATATAGTATTCCATGTAATGTAGACATCGTTATACGCATACGATTGAAAACCTATTCCTTAAGGTTATAAAAATACCAGCGCGATTAATTGTAATTGTTTTTTTTCTTTGCACATACATTTATATATTTATAATATATTATCGAATGGTATTTTTCAAACTAAACGATTGGAACGTAAACTTAACTTATACATACTTTATCATTATATGTTATATAAATTATTATTATTTAATTAATATATGTTTTTTTTATCGAAAAAGACCTCGTCCTGTGGATTATACTCAGTAATAAACTAGTGTTTGCTGTATATACGTATTGATTTGTATATCCGCATGTCTGAAACGAATGCGGCCACGCATCCACATTTTTTTTTAATTTTTATTAAACAACACCACAAACGCGAGTAAAGCTTATTCAGTCATCAACTTTTCCACCGTCTAATTAATTTCGTCATCATTTTTTTTGGTAAATTTTTTGAAAATCTTGACGACTGCACTCTTGACTTTTCGAGATTTTACCGTAGCAAACCCACTTTTTATTCCTTCCAGCTTCATAGTCCTTCGATGTTGGCCGATTAGTCGTATGCTTGAAGAATAGTTTGTTTTTACCGCTGTTTGTGTGTATCCCATAGTGTAGACGTTTACGAGTTGAATATATGGGCATTACTCGAATACTCGAATATGCTCGGTGGTACTTGGGATTTAAGCGAACTAATTCTTTGACGTCAGGATTGTCACGAATTCTGCAAAATACCCAAAAAAAAAAGAAGAGGAAGAGTTTGAGATTAATGAATCCACTTTATTTTTTCTGCTCGTACACCCGTGCACGCATACGATTTATTATAATATACATGTTATACTGTTGTTTGCATATTCGAGGGTCGCGCGTTGTGTGTTCTCAATTTCTCTACTAGAATACACAAAGTTAAACCGACTTATTTTTAAAAGCTATTCGACCTACTTTGAACAGTATAAAAGCGCATAGAAACGATTATTAGACGAAAGCTATGATGGAGGGAAAGCGAACTTGTAACCCACGAGCAGCAGCCAGTGGAGTCGAGAAAGTCCGAAGAGCTTGGCAGGCGCGTGGATTTACCATTTTGCGCTCGGTATAAGTATGTTTATGCTATGAGAAAAGTTGCGAAGCTGACGAAGAGAAAGAAGAAGAAAAAAGGAAAAGAAGTCGCTTGGTTGATAACTTTATAAAACTGGTATGAATTGTGTCTGATAAATGATTCATTGGATAGCTGTGCGAAAACCTTTCTTTGTTTTTTCCCCAGGACAGAAACTATGTACATCTTACATGATAATTGTACATGATAATATGCACTTTAGAATACAGTACACACTGTAAAGAGCACTACATTCACATAGATTCATAATTTTTCGCAAGCTTGCAGTAAATAGATCGTATAGGTTATTCATTAATAATTTTAACTGGCGAAGCAAGGTTTTTTCCGTGCTAATAAGGTAAAAGCACCGATTATGAAACGGTGCACCAATTTGTGGAACACCAGCATTTAAACCCTTATAAATAAAGTTTTTGTTAAAATTTTATCTTGAAAGCAATTGAAAAGTATCAATTGGCATTAGTAAAATCAATAAAAAATGATTTCAAAGCTAACTGTGTAATAATAATTTTATCATGGAATAAATTCATCATTTGTTTTTTTCAATATTGGAATAATCGTTGATTTCGTTCATCCTTTAATGGAACGCGCAAAGTTTGCATCGGTTTCGTCATTAGGTACCAAAAATACTTTGTTAATATTACTTATATAGGGTAGTCACACCAATCAATGACCGGGTACCAGTGAATGACCATTTTGGAATATATCATATGAAAAACAATTAAAAATACATTTGTATGGACGTTATTCAATTCTTTAGTGAATGATGCATCTTGTTTTCTATGTTCGATCATAATTTAACAAGGAAAAACGTTAATTATTGCACATCCAAAAGTGATGATTTACTGGTCGAAAGCGGTCAATCACTGGTATAAGTACCCTAAATGAATAAGAAAATTAAGGACAATTTTAAACACAGGGATTTTGATATTAAAGGTACAGCGCATATAATGATGAGTTTGTTTTAAAGTTTTATCAATTTTTCAAGTACATAAACGCGTTTGCAAGAAAGTTGCCTCAAACCCGTTCCATAATTGGTGTTTTTACCTTATTAATATATCACACTTTTTCATATAAACAATGAAAAAAGTACGAAATAACAAAATAACGGTCTTGCTTGCGATGCAGTAAAGAGTTAGTAAATTAGAGGCATCACGAACAAGTACCGAGCTACCAAAAAAGAGGAATACCTTTTTGCTCCCTTTTGAAAAAAAAGACTCAAGTAATTGCATGAATGTCGCAGAGATGAGAAGAAAAGTGTCCAAGTAACAGGCGTAATGTGGCAATAAAGCAAAAGTGCAGATGCGACTTTTCTGTAAATATTACCCTCGCTGGCCTTTTGTTTGGCACGAATCTCATTTTTCTTTGTCGCGAGTTTGCGTACGCTAGTGCACATGCTCTATCAAATACAAGCGTTTTCTTTTGCACTCGCACAAACCTTTGATAAAGTTTTTCTCAACTACAGTATTAGACACTTTTTGCGCATTGACACCGCGAAATTTGTGCGATTTTTTTTTAATTATTCGAGCTTTTTCGCGATCATATTAAAGATGTTAACTAGCTCTAAAGAGAACATGATTTACTGGGTTATTTTACTCCAAACAAATTAATAATAATTATACACTCGAAAATTATTCTTGAAATTACAAGTTTTAGATTATATTTTTGAAGTGAAGCTGATACGATGTACATTAATTTGAGCTGAAGGGAATTCATCTGATGCTCAACTTGAGATTTATCAGAGATGCAAAATGTTAACTAACAAATTAACAAAATTATTTCAAAAATATTTACAACTCATGCACAATAATGACCGTAAATTTCATTTCAAGATAGTACAAAACCGCTACGTCTGTAACATTCATTCGTCTTATTGCGTTTGAGAACGAGTCTCATCTCCGCGTAGCAGATTTAACGATCGGAGACTCATGAACTTGCGGAGGGGAAAACGAAGAAGTTTATTAAGCTAACCTTAGTAGCAAGCTTCATGCTGCTATAACGACTGCAATAGAGTCATTGATTTTAATGTCAAATTTTATATATCTTTGTGACACGACCGATAAGCGACGTTTTTATTTAGAACAAAATGTATTTTTCCGACATAATTTTTAAAAATTAAAAAAAAAAATAATAATAAACTAAGGGTAATATTATATTTTGGTACTAGGTGTCAGTGTGAGAGTACTATGAGTTTGGACTCACCTTCATAGTTAACCATTCCATCACCATCTAAATCTGCTTCTTTGATCATATCATCGACCTCTTCTTCGGACAATTTTTCTCCAAGATTTGTCATAACGTGTCGAAGTTCGACTGACGATATTAAACCGTCGTTATTTTTGTCAAATACTCTACAATAGAAGATAAATAACTAATTTAATTATTTTTCATAAAAATTTCATGAAATTTTTTTCATTTTATCGTTGAGAATATGATTTAATTATGTAAAAATAAGTTTGATTATGTATTTTTAATACAAAGATTTCCGCCCCAAAATGTAATTTTTATCCTTTATACTGCGATCTTTTTCATTATAGTGAACATTTTGACTTTCATTTGACTAACCTAAATGCTTCGCGAAGTTCGTCTTCTCCTTCGGCACCTTTCATTTTCTTAGACATCATCTGTAGAAATTCGTTGAATTCAATTGTACCATTGCCATCTTGGTCTACTTCATTCACCATGTCTCGTAGTTCATTTTCTGCGGGTAATAATAAAATTTGTCAAAGCTATTTAATTTAGCGTCGAATCCTCAACTAATTTACCCTGTTATGTACGCAACACACGCGTAATTACTTTATTTTTGCAGAGAGCTCAGAACAAACGACACATTTTTATTTACAACTGATGTTATGAAAATTTACCATGTTTCTTATAATAATTAAAACTTTAAAAGTGGGATTTACAAGAACTTTTGCGTAATTAATGTGATATATATTCATGCGGGTATACGATCTCGTTTTTAATCGTTACGAAAAAATTTCTGAACTATTGCGAATTTATAAATTTTAAAAATTTTGTAATTAATTTTAATTTAAAAACTTGGAGCGGATCGGACAACTTTCTGAGTCAATTTTTTAGATATCCCTAGAAGAAGTTTGTCAACGGAAGAGAAAATTATTTTATCGCAGTATTAACGACAGATCGTATTTTTAAAGGGCGCTGAAAAAGTTTTTTTCTCGCCATGTTTAAAATTTATTAGCCTATAATTTTGATCAAGTTGAACTTTTGACGTTGAAAACGTTACTTACCCGATGGCCTTTGTCCAAGCGAACGCATGACAACTCCCAATTCGGCCATCGTGATTGTGCCGTCTTCATCCTTGTCAAAAAGCATGAAAGCCTCTTTGAACTCTGTGCAAGCAGAAATTTAATGGATTGTAAACTTCTATCACTGTCAAAGTATGAGAGTAGAATGAAATATTTACTTCGGTTAAAACTCAACAATATACAGTCATTTATTTTCAAAATTCAAGTTTTCACTAGCATATACCTGCTCAAATGTATTTTTAGACTTTGAATGTTATTTGAATGTTATTTGAATGAACATTGAATGTTATTTTGAATAATAATTGAATTTAAAAGTGTCGAAGTGTTATATTTACTACATCCGCTTTCTATCAAATGTTGTAAATAAAACTTTAAAGAAACCTTGAAGGCGTTTAGTTATTCAGACCCTTACACATCCAACCAATGAAGGCCTAGAAAAACTGCAGACGTATAAGAATCAATAAAAGCGTAGAAAGGAAATCGCAAAATGATTTTTTTTCTCTACCACAATGATAAAATTCATAGCCCACGCTAACACATCTTTATGGGCTTGTGATCAAGTTGCAAAACTATAAATTCCGAGCTCATGAAAAATGTTAACAACACTGACTAATTTTTAAAAGTCGAGAGTTTGAATTTCCAAGAAGAAAATTAACTTATTCATATGATAGCTGGCAAATTTTACCTACTTAAATTACGCTTTGACTAAATATACACGCATTTATTAAATATAGAATAAAACTGAATTAAAGTAAAAATAAGCTGCAAATTTTAAATATAATTTGGTAAGTTTATTTACAAACATCTTGCAAAATAATGCGACCACGCGACAAAAATTTGGCGCTCATGCGACTAGCGTTCGCAAGCTCAACGTCCTTCGTAAATACACGCGTCATTGAAGATGTTTTAATTCCAGCGAACGTTGACTCTCGAACGCACAATTCCGTTTTGAACAAACGCGTCGTAAGATACGTGAATTTATATCGCTCGTGTGTACACTACGAAAAAGCCACAAAGCTAGATTTTCATTGGTTATTTCTCTTTTTTCGTTTTCTCATTGAGGAATTTAATTTCATTCTTGATACTCGGCCAAATATGTTCCATACCCGGGTACTTCGCTCGAGCTTGCACACAATGACGAGTGTGTGTGTATAGTCAAAAAAGAAAAAAAAATAGAATAAAGTGCACGTATTGTGTTACCTGCATGCCATACTCAATCGAAGTCTATAACACACTAGTGATATACATGAAATGCTTAGCGAACTTTGGCAATTTCAATGTACTTCTTTTATGTTTTCACCAGATTGTTTATTGCAGTATCTTGCAACAAGACTCGTTACTTTTATGAATGTCTTACATTTTTATACTTTGAAAATTCAAGTGCATCGCACAAATACTAATTTGGGTAATTGATCGATTACAAACTCACCTGCAACTTGGTCCTCCGTAAGCCCATACTCGGACTGTAACAATTGAAAAGTATATATTATTTTACTTTGAACTCATTCGTTATACTCTGCTGTAATTAATTGTATTATCTTTGCCGAAGGGACTTATGGTAATGACTTTTTTTTCATTGAATGAATAATTATTATTAGTTTTTTAATTGGTACGACATTAATGAGAACAAACATAAATTTAAAAAGGAAAATCATTCAGAAGCAAATACACGATACAAAATTTGACAGCCGTGTTGATGACTTTTACGTGAATAACAAAACGTACGGTCACGTTAAATAGATCAAACGTATGCTGGACTTTATTGTAGCATATCAATTCACACAATAATACCGTACCAAGCTCTCTGTGCTGTTACAACAAAGCTCGAGCTTTGCTCAGCATGCCGTAATTTCTAGCGAATGAATATCAACGGTATAAGGCACAGCGCATAGCACTAGACAATCGCATCTATTTTCGTCCATGTAATAACGCTTAGGCAGATTATACTGGCTCTTTAGATGCGACACTTTGTAAGCGAGAGGCACTGTACGATAAATAACTCCTCTCTGGAGTCTCTCTTTCTCTATCTCTCTTTCTCTCAGATCGTTGCAATCTCAAAGCCCTCTTTGCTCCTAATATTTAATTCTCAGGCTCTAAGAGGCACTGGACCGTAGAAGCAGGAGATGGATTATATGCGTTACATGCGGTGAGCGTATATGTGTGAGCAAGAGAGACAGAGAAAGAGAGCGTTACATGCAAGTATATACCGTTTATGTAGTACGTAGCACTCTCGGTACGAGACACATACTTTATGAAATTAGTGTAGCCGCATATACAGAGTGTAGATTGCACTCGCGAAACTTAACACACTCACGGATAACCGGCGAATCTGACAGTCAATTTCGTTGGTGAGCCGTCTCAACTTGTAGTACTCGCGCCTGTACTTCTTGGATTCTGCCATACTGCGATCTCGCGCGAGACTGACATCGTTACAGCTACATAGCTTCTGCTCGAACGACAACGTCGTCGTCTCGCCGACGAGTAGTAAGGGCGCCATGGCTTCTTATATATTCGTGTATATGTATTCTAACTGTGGGCACAGCACAGCCTCTGCGGCTGATGCCGCCGCACTGCACTGTCCGTTATTATTCTTTGGCCGATTGCCGTCTCTGTGTTATATGAGCAATTCTTTAAATAAAACGCATTTTTTGAGGTAGAATCGCGGCAAATTTTTTTTTCAACCTACGCGGATACGGACCCCCGGGAAATGTTTTTGGGGGTCCTAGGAACATGTAACCACGTAGGAACCATTGAAATTTCAATAGTGCTTATTTTCAGAGCTACTTTTGTGATTTAGGGCCGAAAAATCATGTTTTCTCGTAAATACGGCTAATTACTCAATTTCTAAGTCGCTGAAAAAGTATCAAAACTCATCTAAAAAAAATAACTGACTGCTGTGTTCAATAGGAAATTTTCTTAACTTTCCAATGGTGGTGTCAGATTTGCCGATAAGTCGCACATTCACCGAGAAAATCGCCATCAAACATGCCAAGCTAAATATCTCGAAAAACTCGGTACGGAAAAAGTGATCTTTGATGCCTATTTTTGATTTTTTCGGTTGGAAATGAGATTTTTCGTAAAATCTGACTGCACCATGACAAAGCTGAGGAAATTTTCTATCGAAAGAATATCTTCATTTATTTTTTGAGTCGAATTACAATGTTATACATGGGAATTTCTTTTACTTTGTTCGCTGTTTTCTGTTTCCGAGCTGATTCAGCGCGGTTGCGAGGTTTTCGGCTCGCTACAATCAAAACTAGCTCGTAATTCCACTGAAAAAATGAATCAAGATATGTTTTCGATTGGAAATTTCCTCAGCTTTCTCATAGCGTATTCAGATTTTTCGATAAATTTCATTTTCACGAGGAAAAATCGAAATTAAACCTCAAAGATCACTTTTTCCGTACCGAGTTTTTCGAGATATTTAGCTTGGCATGTTTGATGGCGATTTTCTCGGTGAATGTGCGACTTATCGGCAAATCTGACACCACCATTGGAAAGCTGAGAAAATTTCCTATTGAACACAGCAGTCAGTTATTTTTTTTAGGTGAGTTTTGATACTTTTTCAGCGACTTAGAAATTGAGTAATTAGCCGTATTTACGAGAAAACATGATTTTTCGGCCCTAAATCACAAAAGTAGCTCTGAAAATAAGCACTATTGAAATTTCAATGGTTCCTACGTGGTTACATGTTCCTAGGACCCCCAAAAACATTTCCCGGGGGTCCGTATCCGCGTAGGTTGAAAAAAAAATTTGCCGCGATTCTACCTCAAAAAATGCGTTTTATTTAAAGAACTGCTCATATAGCTATATTGTATGAGTCTGTTCTAAAGCGTACGCGCACCTTATACCCGCGATGATTTTACCTAGCAACTGCCGTGTACTATTACTGCTTTTCGGGATGACCCAACTTTATAATATCGTGTCCCCTCTTTCATCTAGTTTCTATCTATCTCTATCTCTCACTTATTCCGAGTCTCGTTCATTCTTGCAACCCAAGTTGATCTGCAAGCTCGAGCTTTAATAACGAGCTATAGTTGGCGTTGTTGATATTATGTTTTTGTTGACGTTTTTGCTCATCTCGTTTTCGAATTCGAATCGAATTGCTCACCATTGACGAAAATAAGGCAACATTTTGTAAATAGTACTTGCTTTCCTCTGATGCGTAAGTACATTTGAGTGAGTGTTCTTTTAATAGGTATCATCGGATAACGAATAATGATGTTTCAAACGGATAATTGATATGAAATAAGTTTGATTTATAAACCTTGCCTTATGTAACTCATCGAGTTTTAGCTTTCTCTTCATACTACAAGTTCTATGGTTGAGCTCACTTTTTGTTTTGTTGAAGGTATCTGTCAATGTAACAAGCCATGACAGTGTATGCAGCAGTGGAAAGTACACAAAGTACGCGAGTTTTTCACTCTTTCTTGTTTTCTAATTAATGTTATACGTTGTCCATTCTAACGTTTATAAATACAATAAAGTCGTACTCGCATGTGTGAGCAAGAAAAAAAATGAAGACAGAGAGCGCGGCTAGACCTACAAAAGCCGGACAAAAAAAATAACAAACAATGAAAAGCTCGGCAACATGCGAGAGCGTCACGTGCGAGACCGACTATATTCTCCGGAGCTATATATTACTATAGCGGTATTCGAACAATGCGTGAAACTTGCAAAGTTGGCGGTGCGAAACTGCGGATTGCATTGATTTTCTTGCGGAGATGTGAAAGAACACAGATTGTTTTAAATCGGCGATGTTTCTCTTTTATTTGTAATCGAAGTGTACGCAAGAACATTTCCGCCTTTTTGCGTTTTTATATACCAATTAATGTTGACCTAAATTTTCTAAAATTTATTTTTTTTAAATAAATTTTTGAGTAATCGTATTCAGGAAATATTGATAAATCTCAAACTTTTTTCAAATTTATTTATATATTTTGCTATTATACGTATTTCAATTACATAAATTGTAGGTAAAATATTTATGTTGCACACAAATAATTTTTTTCTTCAATTCAATTTATAATTCAGGAAATAATTTTGTTTAAATGGCCTCAAGATAATATCTTTGTACAGAAATCTAATACAATTTTTTCAATTTAAAGTACAAGATTAAATTTGTAGACTATGGTATATGATTTAAATGAGATCAGACCAGTCGTATGCATTTTTTATTAATTTTTTCAACTGTATACAATTAAAAAAGAACTGTATTATAATTGGACAAATTAACGTAGGTACTAACAGCCGTACGAGAGTAGTTAGTAAAATTCGTACGCGACTCTCATTGAATTTTAACGCTTGTTTTAATTTGCCATGTGTATATAAACATTCGTCGACTCAGCAGTGAGGGAAAATTTGAACGTTTTTCATGCACATAGCCCTTTCGAGTGCGCAGTGGCTCTCTAAAGTCAGTTAGAGAATCCTTGTGACTTCTCATTATGCTTAAGGGGCGATGAAGTCGTATTTCTAGTCATCGTGCACTGCTCTGGCAGACTATCAAGCCATTCCTCAAGTAAACTCCGACACTTTGTTAAAACAGTCGAGGCGAGTGGTTATAGAGGAAAATTAAACAGTGCCTAGCTCATTTGCCTTCAAAGGCATATTCTGAACCGAACAAAATGTAAGAAATGATAAATTTGGCTAAAAGAAGGATTTTCTATAAAACAGTACAATATGATTATTTATGATTTCAACGATGAATTTTTTACGAGATCCATAAAGTTAATGACTCGGATCATATTCTTATTTTGTTTTTGATTTTTAGACGTTCTTTAATAATTTTAAATAAATATATGTAACATGTAATTAATAATGTTATTAATATTCACGATGATTTATGTCCCATATTTATTATAAATATTTCTACATTACAGTATAATAGTTACAACACTATGACAATACTACTTATGCACGTGTGCTTTATCACTGCTGAAATTTATTTTCTAAAGTAGGCGAAGACATAAGAGAAACTCTTTTTTTTTTACAGTATGCAAACATCGAATCAATTATTATGCAATATAGCTCTCTTCTATAAGTAGTGAATTTAGGAAATTATTCTATGTCAAAAGTATGTAGCATATTTATCAGAGCTTTTGCCACATTCAATCAAATGCTTCATTAATTGTCAATTTCTTCATAGGTCGCTGTCGTTTTCAGCTCTGGAACTCATATTGAGTAAAATTTATCATTCTGATGTTATATTTTGGAAGCGTTATAGCCAAACCGCCCAGTGACAAGGTCAGTCTGAGCTAAAATTAGGTCGCGAGAGCTTGACTGGCTCGCATTTTATGCTCCGACTTTTTTTGCTCTCTCATTTTCTCTTTCTTTCTCTTTTTTTCTCTCTCTCTAGCGGAGGCCATTAGCCTCTCTCGATCGCATTTTCAACTCGTTGTGTTGTTGCTTTTTGTTGTGCATCGTGCACACACTTGAAAAGTTTCCGGCATCTTCCAACCAAGATTTTTTGCGACTCAGCGCAATTTTTCATGAATTTCCGCATTTTCACAATTTCAGCGCATGTATATAAAACAAGTATTTTTCTATAATTGTATAAATAACTAAATAAAGCACCTTTATTTCTTTTTCTTCGTTACTTAAAATTGTATAATATTTGTAAAATTAATTATCAAATTTCAATTATATCAATTAGTGGGTACTGAACACTTGTTCAAGTGTCATAATTTTGGAAATATTAAATTGTTTAGAGTCAACAACCTCTCGTGTAGTGTATACGCCACATAACTAGACAAATTTAAATTAGCGTTGTCAGTCAAAATGAAAATTGGCAAAACTACACTAGAGTAACACACTAATTCGTGTCTATTAAATCGATGTAAATATTCAATAATAAATTATACATGCTTCTCACTTAATGTACTTAGCTAAAATAACGTTTTATGAAACTAATTTGTGTGCGTTTGTTCATTAACCGAGAGAAAAATTTTCCCCTTGAAGTTTTGAAAAGTTTTTCAACTTATCTTTGCAACTCATAATTTTGTTATTAGCCCATTAATCTTAAGAAAATTCATAACAATTTTTTGATTAATTTATCATACTGAGATGAAAGAATTTTTCATCTGTATAAACTTACGCTGATTTTCCTTATCCTGCCATCGATCTTGCTAGTAAGCCGTCTCAGTCGTCCGTATTCATGAGTGTACTTTCTTTCGACATCTGTCATTTCGTGCTGTTTTATTTATCATTCACTAGTTTAATAATCACGAATCCATCGTCATATTCAAAGGAACCTCATTCACCGTAGTAACGAATTATCACTTAATTTTCCACTGATTATCACGGCACACAGCTTAAAAAAATTTAATCGAGTTTACACACTTTTTCATCGACTATTTAACTAGCTGAGGTAGCAGCAGCCGAGAACCAAACGACGCGGTTTTTTTCTTTCCTGCGTCTTCGTTGGTATTGCGCGGCTCTAGTCTGTTTGGCCATTCGGAAGTCGTCGTTGCTCGTCTCTCTTTCACAATGTCAAATGCGTGCACAGATCATAAAAAGAGCATCCGCTTTGAAGATCGTAATGAAAGAAGGAGCGAGATATGACTGCAGAGGCGTCTATATAGACGCCACAAACATACACATACACACGCGCGCTCACGAGAAGCACGCGAAGTTTTAAAATTAGCCGGAACGTTCGAGGCCGCAAAAGCCTCTTTTTCTCGGCGTGCGTCTCTGTGTCTCTTATTCTCTCATTCTCGCTCTTAGCTCGCGATTACAAATCTCTTTCTCTTTCTCTAGATGTGAGCGATGCTTTGCTCGGTAACGACTCACAATAACGCATGCACGCGGTTTCCTCGCGACTATAAGCCGAGCATATCTGGTTCCAAAAATTGCTTGTACATAATACACATTATGGCTAGCCCTACCCTCTAATAACCATTACCCCACCTCCACACGCAGGCGCGCTCGTGAAAATCGAGGCTGAGAAACGAGCGACCTCTTGCATTGTGTGTGTCGCCTTTCTGTATTTTCATCCGTAGCGCAGCGAGCTTTTGTACTTCTGTGCTTGACAAAATTTCGGCTAAGAGAATATGGTGGAAGAGAGAAAGAAAGAGAGAGAACGATGCCAAGACACGTTGCGCACGACCAGCGCGACAGAGATAAATATGACATGTGGCACGTGCATCTATAAATGTTGTATACAGATCAAATGCGAGCAGAGCTTTTCCTAGTCAGCGACCTATCTCCAAGCAACTGCTACAAACACGCACTCGTATGCTATATAGATCAACTGGAGTTGTTTCAGTAGTACGAGTTTTTGTTAGCTCGTTCTCTCCCTATCGCACAGTACGAGACTCTAACTTAACGATTCGGTTTATATCCAACTTTCTCTTTCTCTCTCTCTCGCTCTCTCTCTCTCTCTCTCTCTCTCTCTCTCTCTCTATCTCTATCTCTATCTCACTTTCTCTCATCGAGTTCATAGCTTTATTAGCAATTTTTTCTGCAGCTCACAAACGAGCAACACTTGGAACTTTCTCGCTGTTCGTCGATTATCGACGATTTACCGTCTATTTTCAATTTTTTATTTACAATTTCATATTCTTTGGCCTTTATAGCGTTCAACATTTGATATTATATCTCGTAACGAGTTTGGGGATTTCATTAAAATTTATTCTCCATACGACGTGACTTCAATTCTAGTTGTACCATTTTTTGTAATTCGACATCGAAGCGTTCGCAGGATAGTTTATTATATTTCAAATACTAAGTAAATTTTTATCTTTTTTGCAGCTCTTTTTCTTCCTTCGAATGCACGACTCGACCATTCACAATTCCGAAGAAAACGTGTGCATGTACGTGCAACAAAAAAAAACACTCGAAATGAGTCAGAGCTGATTCTACTTTTTTTTTAACTACATTATACTAGAATTTATGCTCTTTGACTGTTGAGAAATTATTGATTACTTGGATATTGTTGCAATATTCAAGTGGGTCATATTCATTGGGGATTTAAAAATTTGAAATTAATTACTTGGAGATATGAAAATTTTGTTACTGTAAAGTTACTCATTGATAAGAGTGAAAAATATTAGTGCCAATAAAATGACACTTTAAAGTTGCTATCTTGAGCTACTCCTCTAAAAGTAAGTAATTTTTCAATATCATATAATTATGATCAACAAGCCGAGAATATGATGAAACGGTAGTACTTAATTATTTTCTCGCAATTCAATTTATAGTACTAATGATGCTTAAAATCACACTCATTCGTTAACGGAGGAAACCAAAGCACCATAAAAACTCTTTAAATCAAATTGAAATTTGTCAATCTTTTGGTATATACTGAATTTTTCCCTCAAAATAATACCCATGATATTTTTCACATGGAAAATCGTCAAAGCTCAAAATTGTCGCTCTTATCGCATACACAAAATACGATCGCGTATTATGCGATGCTATACTGCGCTTAGTTCATTAAACCCTGCTGCACGCGCGAGCTATTTGGACATGCTTAATAATTCATAATTTCGGTTACACATATGTGCGCGAGACCGGTGCGCATTTATTAAACTCGCGAATTCCGCGTCGGCTGGTGCAAACTCGCTCTTTATTACCTACGTGCAGAGTGAGAGAGGCCGCTGCCGTTTGAGTTGGGCTTCTTCTATTTAAATATGTCGCTTGCGGAGTTTCTGCGTATTCTCGAGCTCGTACACTCGCTTTTCTACGCAGTTGGCGTTTTTTTTCTTTATTTTAAACAACTGTACACAACGAGCACCGACGTCCGAGCAAGTAATAACAGAGATGTGCTTCGTTATATACGTAGGTGGATTATATATTATATAGCAACGCACATCTCTACTATTTTCGTCACGCAAACGTATAATGTTTGCATGACTCAAGAATGTTTTTATGTAACGTTCGAAAAATTACTCAAAGTTAATCTATATTGATTTTGGATATTTTTCAATTATGAATTAATGATTAACAATGCGCAGTGAAATTTTTGGTTGCAATCCTCAACTTCTTTTACATATAGAGACCCGTGCTACATCAAAGCTTATGCAACAATATACGAAAATCAATTAGATTTTCAATTAGCTTCCCGGGCTTATAATTGCTTCATGCTCCAATGCTAAAACCTATATGATATGCACCCTCTACCTGTGATCTCCCAAGTTTTCTTCTGATCCATCGCAAGGTTGCATATCATAGCCATTCAGGAGGATAGTGTCTCAAGAATGACTACTTTTAAAATCGATATATCCAGTTAATTCTTGAAAAGTGACTCCTAAATTACACTTGAAATAAGTTTGACATAAATGACTTATTTTGTGAGTAATTATCATGTTTATAGTTTTGAACAAATAGGTTTACCAGTTTACTAAGTCTTTGCAGTTCAAATATCTTCTATATACCGTTGTACCATTTTGTAATCACGCAAAACAAATGTGTAGCTTAATAGTCATGTTTTAATAATACTCTGTTGCGTTTCTCAGCACTTTGTATGTTTTGATACGGAGCTACAATGTTTACTCATACTATCTCAATGACATCGGGTCATGAACTTGAAGCTAACTTGCTTCAGCTTCGAACCTAATTCTAATTTTTAATAAACCTTTGATTTCAAATTGGCTCTATTTGCTAATACATAGAGCTTTCGATAGTGATCTATATATAAAACTTTAACTTGCGGTAACCCAACGAATATTCCTTAACTTGGATTTTCCACATTACATTCAGATGTAGATAAGTCTTAAAGAGATCCCGACAGAAACATTTTTTACTAAAAATCTATAATTAGTTACAATTCTCAAGTTCGCATGGGTATCAATCGTTTCCGAGGTGTATGCTCGAGTTCGGCAAGCGGATGTTTATGAGAAATAGCTGACTTTGGAACAGCTTGATAAATAGCTAGAACTGCAGGCTACCCGAAATAATGTCAAACCGATAAGCGCATATATAATTAAGAAAATGCTTCATTCAAATCGCGTGTCGCCGAATGTTGGCACGCTGAATTCTCTCTCTCTCTCTCTCGTTCGAAGTTATATCGGCTCATCATTGCTTTCATTGCCAAACACACGAATACATGCATCCACATGCAGTCACTATAGATCGTGAGGGCAATAATTTTACAAGAAAAAAAAGCTCGTTGTCTTCGTAGTCGTATTTACTTACCAAATTGATGGTGACAATCAGATCGTATTGCTGTCGCTGACCCTTCTTTTTGTTCTTGCCGGCGGTGGTCTTGACGCAGGCCGCCTTGGGCGTGACCTTGACCTGGCCTTTTTGAGCGCTGGGCTTGGTGGTGGGCTTAGTGGACGATTTAGCGCCCGGTGCTCCCTTTTGGCCACCGGTGAGCGGCGCCTTTTGGCCCGCGGTGCCTTTCTGATTCACGTGACCAGTCCCGTCGGCCGGTTTATTTCGAGCCTGTCGAAATAATACAAAAATTTATTAAACAATGATCTTGCGTGATTGTTTCGAACATTTTTCATTGATATTAATTTTAATGCATATATGCAGTCCCTATAAGCTAGTAAAAGCGCTCAATTGATTGGTATCAGAGTGAGGGAGCTTCAAAATTATTTAAGGAAAAAATTTTCCATGACGGCTTGATAGATCGATAGAGCGTTGTTAATTTGAAAATTCCATTCAGAAGCTCACTCCTTTCAAATGTTATACCTGTAACGAAACCTCATTCGCTACATATCCACCACGACCAGTTGTCACTCTATTTGTTTTGCTACAAAGAAAATCTTAATAATTCGTTTTGACTAAAAAAAAAACAGTAAATCAGACGTAACTTGATAGGGTAGTCGTTTCGCACCCTACCAAAAACTCGCACAACATCTGTTCAAAACATGCGCTCGTTAATGTCAAAAGTATTCAGAATAATTGCAGTTAAAGCGATTGTATAAGATTATATTGTTCTATTACTATAAAAATTTCAAGAGTGAAGCATTCAGGGAATCTAAGGATTATCTCGGTGATAGATTGCAAGAAAGGTCATGTAAAAAATATCTTGCTTTAATCTCGATCTCAAAATATGTAACTGCTGCACTGATACTAATTTCAAATGCTCTTCTACAACATTTTTTTAACATTTGAAAAGCGTATTTCGCACTAAGATTACTCTCTAATTCTAAAGCTATGCTGCTGCTGCTGAAAATATACTACTTTCAACATTACTGTACCTCTTTAACCGACGTCTTTTATTCATTTGAAGAGGAATTTCACATTCATGTGTAAAGTCGAGTCGGGGTCACGCGTTTTGCTCAATCAAAAGCTGTCGGTATAATTATATTTTTGTCGTGAATAAAAATCTAAGGCTCTAAAATTTCTTTCTTGATGCATTGTGGATTCAAAACATGCGCTAATATTTATTTTAATATTCATATAATTCAATTTTTATGCGGTTATATTGTACCATCCATTTCAATTTAATGTTTTTTTTTTTTTATTAATTCAGTGTAAGTTGAATGATGTCATAGGTGTGAGTGCAACGTTTTCCTCTCGAGGACTCGATCCGAACTTAAAAGTATAAATATAATGCGCGTTGCTGCACATGTACTCATACAGGGTATTAAATTTTCTAGTAATTCTCTTCTGCATAAGAGCTAATTGATGGTCAAAACGATAAATAGCCACAATAGATATTGTCCATGAACAATGCTCTTGCACACATTCGTTGTGATACTAAAATACGCTGTACACAAAATGCAGGGCAAGCGTATCATAAAACATATTTAATTATTTCAAGCTGTTGAAAAAATTTTAAATTTAATGCAGATTTACTGTAAAATCAGGCTTTAAAGAATTATCGTAGCCGAAAAAAAATGTTATGTAAGATACTTTTATATAAATTTTATCGTTAAATATTTGTTCGAATTGATACAAACTACGACTAACTTCAAGTAGTTTAAAAAGAAAAAGAAAGTCGCGAAAATACCGAGATCGACATTGATCTTTACGAACTCGTGAGAGTAAGAAGTAAATTTTGATTTCGTTCCGTTGTTGTTTTTCTCTAACTGTTCAACCTAGAATCAAATTTATAAACTAAAAAAAGTGTCTCGAAAATTAATATTTGTAAATAATACAAAATATTGATCGATCGGCAAATCCACGATCTATCCTTGCTTTTATAGCGAGTTGTAGATTCTCTACAAATCGAGAATCTTTGTAAGTATTTGTTTTTTCACGCGTTTTCTTTTTAAATTAAAATTCATTTACCATTTGTTTATCATGTTATATTTATATGTAAAATTATGAGTTTTTATCTAAATTAAATTTTGGGTTTTTTATGCCTCTGAGCTTCTTCCTAAATACAAAAAAATTGTTGTTATTTTTGTTCATCATATTTACGTGTATATACCTTGAACTTGGTTATCATGTCATCTCAGACATGATAACTTATTACACTTCAATTTAATATTGCTATGCTAATTGATTAATTATTTTACACACTTGCAAAAAAATGTATAAAAATAAAATTATATACGTTATTTTTAATGCAAGAAAAAACAGAGATTTAATTCTATAATCAAATATCATAAATAATAATAATAAGAATAATAATAATAATAAATCAATTTAAATAATATTTAATAACTGGATTAATTTCTATGTTAATATTACAAAAAAATTATAAAATTTCGATTAATTAAATCAAATCTCTAACATTAGATGGTGAGTACCACTATCTGTGATTCTGCAAGTGGCAAAGTAAAAAAAAAATTGTATAAATAAGCGTTTATCATATAAAATTTATATTATCTCGTTGAAATGGCTTTTGAATGAAAGATCTATGATTTTCATACATTGAGAAATAGTATGATTATATGGTAGGAAAAATGTATAGTCTGTGCCTTGCCAAAAATGTCGAATAACTCAATTAAGTATAAGGACATACATAATATGATTTATAGTAGCCAGGAAAAATTTCGTGAATTTGGTTATTCATTTTATGTCTTACAACAATTTTTAAGGACTTAATATGATAATTTTTATGAATAATGTGTCATTACATACATTTACTGCGTCGCTGTACGGAATATTTGATTTTGTTTCAGCATAATTTTTTTCAAGTTGCGCATAATAAATAACCTTTTTCCAATAACACGTCGAAAGAAAATAAAAAAATTTATTTCGCTCGCACGCAGAACGCAATCTATTCATCAATATTCTGTGGCACGAGGTAAGCGCGCGTGGCTTTTGCAGGATCAAAATAAGCGTTGGAAAAATGAAAATCGAGTCACCTGTGAGCTTTACGGCTTTCTCTCTCTCTCTCTCTCTCTCTCTATCTCTTCCTCGTTGAATTGTTATATGAAACTGGATACAAGCGCGTACGTAGATCGCGAGAGCTCGAGACGTGAACCACCGTGGAATCATGACGTAATACACGTGCGTGCATGTAAATACGTACGTATAATGTGAAATACAAGCCAAATATATGTGTATGTATTCGGTCTCCTGTCGAGTTGATTTTGCCGCATTCTAGGGCGAGACAGGTACACATGTATAACACGGGCTTCGTCGAGTGCAACCTCATCTCGCGGTCCTGCTTGGGATATGGTTTTCCAATTTAAAGTTAGTCGAGAGTTGGGAGTTTGTGCACGCTGTGTGCGTGTCTATGTGTATGTCTGAAGTCTGTGTGTGTGTATATGACAAGTTCCATAAATCGAACGCCACGTCGTTATCCCCGAGAGATCGTTTCTGCAGATACATTTGGAGCAAATAAAGCGAGGGAACGCGTGCGAATCTCTACCGCAGATAGCTCTTGTGCACGTTGCCTTGCCCTCTGCATTAATCAAATCGAGCGGAGTCTAGTGCGTAGATTATACAAAAACAAATAGGCGTCGGGAAATCGATAGAGACGACAAAAATAACAGGAGAATCGAAGGAAGGGGCTGGAAAATTAAAGCTCGCGTGTCTGCGCGCTTGAGATATCGGGATGACGCGTATGATTTGTCTGTTGTAAGCGTTCTTGAAACTGCAAACTCCAATATTTGATCGTTATTTCAAAATAAACGTTAAATTAAAAAACTCATTTTTTAATCAATACGATGAAATTTCTAATAGTAATAATTTCGATAATAATGCAACAATATTAATAAAACTTTATAATAATAATCTTTCTACTTTATAAGTTTCGTTATGAGAAAGAAAAACAAAGAATTTCAAACGCCTTTTCACTTCATCAATTATTCATAACATTTACAGCTGTCAAAAATAAAAATAAACTCGTTGATTTTTCCAGACAATCTTACTCAAAGCTATTTCGTAAATTTTATCCGGTAGTAGGGAGAGATTTCATAACTCATAAAGATGAAAATAATTCCGAATGAATTTGACAGTTCTACTCTTTATATATCATCGTCGAGCGTAATATAATTTAGAATTTCTACGAAAATAATACCTTCAATATCGATTGCAGTGTAAGTTCACTGGCATGCATTTCCAGATATAGATACGTACTGCACAGAAAAACATTGGAAGATTTGTTGTTTGAATTCGCGGATATCAAAGTTCTGAATAGCCACAACCCGAGGGGAATTACAAACACAATACGAACACGCGTTAAAAATTTTCAAATGCTCGGCTTGTCGAATCCAGAGTTTGATAATCGCTCTCGTGCCACTCTCGTATATAATTTCATCCAAGACCAGTGCCGCGTGATTGTTCTAATTGGTTCAGGTGTCCCCAAGCTTTAATTAAGTTTGGACCAGTGGCTAGCAATTTTCCAGACTCTCTCACTGTATTGCTCTCTCATCTCTCGTTTTTTCAATCGTTACATCTTTATTTTTTTTACTGTATATATTAAATAACATAGTAGTAAGTATATTCAAAGTTCACTCGACTGAGATTTTTTGATAAATGATTTGTTAAAATGAATCCAATAATTTTTTTTTCTGTACGATTGACTCCTTGGGCAATTAATGATCAATTCGTTCAATTGGTCATCTGCTTTTGCATTCTTGCCACTTGAAAAATGCCGAATAGTCATGGTGCCAAGAGGTATGGATGTCGTTAATTAGCGTAGTTTTTAGAACGAAGAATGGACACTTTATGCCTTTTCGTAAGTACACGCATACACGCACAATGCCATAATTTAGGATTATAATGCCTGGGTGGCCGATGTAACTTTTTGTACTTATACACATATATAGCCAAAGGTACTTTGTGCCCCTGGGGTACTAGTGGATGAGTACGAGCCAAGCTGGTAAAACGATGGTCGCCTCTCTCGGGAGGTACAGTTTCCGAGCTTTTACGACTGCTGGCCTGGCGTGTACTACAAGCACGATTTAAAGCTATGCAGAAGTAGTATTTGTAGCAGAAAGCTGGTTTCGGTAGGCACGTAGTGGACAAGGAGAATGGTTTTACATGAATAATTGCCAGTTTCGATCTACGAATGAGGTTTGATGCTTTTCAACCTTACTCATCAGAAAACATGCATTTGATGCTTAGTTTATGGAAAATCATACCTTCACAAGAGTTTATAGCGTGAAAAATATAGTGGCTTTTATTTTCATATAGATGGTAGAAATAATTGATGATTAAAAATTTGATTCAATTATAACAATACAAATTTTTACGCTTTCCAGTGAGGAACGTGTCAAGTTAGGTTTTCGCTGTTATAGAAACCTTAAATTAAATGCAGATTCAACGCTACCGAGTACTGATATGTTTTTTCTATGAACTGTACAAAATTCATGAAAACAAAATCATATGGGTGGTTTTTAACGAAAGATGAACAAAAAGTATTTTATTCTATTTGAAAATTTAAGCACTTCGATTAAAAATTTACTTTTTGCTTTCATGTAAAATTCAGAATTGATTCGTGAATTAAAATCATTAAAATCAAAAATCAAAATTGGTAGCAAAGTAAAAATAATTTCGTATAAAGCATGGTTTTAGATTGAAAAAAAAATGAACGAAACATTAATTGCAGCGAACATCTGAAAATTTCTCTAATCTAACATGTACATCTAACATCTTCGACATGTGCTTTCATGAATTTGCACTAAAATAATATCATATGAATACATATTTTCATTTCACAAAACTTATAGTGCACATATTATGCGTACGAAAAAATTTTCCACTGTATGCGTCGTACAAGAAGCGGTCGCAGTGCCATGGAAAGCAGTAATATCATAACCAGCTAGCCTTGCTGCTGGAAGAGACGCAAGAGCTTTTAAATAGCTATGCCACGCGATGCGTCGTTATTCCGGTGCAATGCGCGCGCGAAAAGAGAGAGAGAGAGGAAGAGAGTGAGAGAGGGAGAGACTCGTCACATGGACCGACACCCCCGCACGTAAGCACACATTCTTTCGTGTTATGTGTTTTGGCCTACTGTTATGTAAAATTTTGCTGCCGTGACTCGCTCATTTACAAGCAAAATTATTTCGAAGATGAGGAAGAATAACGAGTTGTTGAACTCTGCGAGATGTTTGCATTGAAAAATATTAATACTGTATACTCAATGAAAAGATCGTGCTGCACGTTCATGTGTACTCTTCCAGTTTACACTTTAAAAACTTTTGATCTCATAAATTATATTACCCCATATCAACTTTGCATCAAGCAACAACGAATGTCACAGTATTGAAATTAAGGACTTATCCTACGCAAATTATCTAATGAGCGTGGGAGTTGATATTTTTGTTTTTCAGCAATAAAAATAATTAGAGCCAGGCTAGTCAAACATACAGAATTTTATAGTGAGTTTCGGTCGAGTAAAAATATTTTTGGTCACATCGTTCGCGTTGGAATACTCGTCACACGGACGGACGTTTCTATTTTTCCTTGTGCTCGCGTGAGCTTTTTCGTAATGCACGCAAGCCACAGATACGATTCAACGTAAAATTGGTCGGGCTTTACGAGCGCCGCTCAAAGAAGCAAAAATCTTTTTCCCGAAAAATATACGCTCTCGCGTGAGAACGACAACATTATAGTGGTGGTGCGGCTGCGGCAAGTCAAGAGTTGCAAGTCTAAACGTTAGTGTATAGTACTATTGGTAGTAGGAGGTGGAGAAGAAGAAGGAGAAGTCGCGGTGTTGCGGAATATTATTCATATAACACTGACTGGAGGTTATAAAAGTTATCCCAACAAACGAAGATCGCTTCAGTGCGGGTGTGTAAAGTTACCAACACCATAGTCGGAAGTCCGGCTGTTAAGAGTAAACGTGCATACTGTTTGCAATAATCCTGAATAATAATGGTTAGTGTTATACATTTTATGTTGTTTTTTTTGGTGCCTGTGTTCATTGAGTGATGGTTAATTTCGTTAAGCAAAGGATCTATTTCTTTGAGTGGGAAGAAATTCCAACTGTTAATTTTTTTTCAAAACGTTTATAAATTATCATCAACTTATGTAATAGTAATTGTTATAATTTATTCATTTGCATCGTATTATAAAAATATGAAAGGCCCTTATAATTAATTAAAATTTTTTTTACAGGATGAAGAACAAGTTCAAAGTTAGTATGATATCAAATACGTTTTAGTAAAACAACATTTCAAAAATGGAAAACTGTAATACTAATACATTTTTAACTATAACATGCAGTGCTGAGGCGAGCATTCTCGATGTTCGATTCAACCAAATCGGGTCGGATTGAAAAGGAAAAAGTTCGAACGATTTTGAACACTCTTGGGCATACTTTTGATGACCATGAACTCGATATCATGTTGAAAGCAGAAGACACCGATGGTAAGTTCATCGATGATCCTAATTTTTAAACTTTTCAAACCTCGCTTAATAATAATTCAGAAGCTTAAACTTTTTTCGAGGGAAAAAATTTGAAAAATAATGAAATATTAGTTAGCTTGAGAGAAATATTCAACCTAGTTTTAGAGAATGAGCTGTATAATCGTTACAAGGCACGATTGTCGATGAATTTAAAAGTATAGTCGCTTGAAATTTCGTCTGTTCGTCAGTGGACACGGTAAATGTTTCATCGATTCCAAATAAATGACGCGCCGTCGACGGATAAACTATAGAAATTCAGGTCGATAAAAAGTGGGATTTTTTTCTCAATAACTTACGTAAAAAATTCAATAAATATATATAAACAACAATTTCTCGTGAAAGTATCTGCGAAAAATCATTTCAATGTTTACTCGAAATTCATGATAAGAAAAACTTTCCTCGGCAATTGAAAACAGACAATAGACGTAAAACGTCCGTCATCACAAAGTACTTTGGGGAGAAAAACAATATCGTAAACGTTAATGTTGCAAGCTCAAAGTGTCTACATATATCTATAAAAGAATGTATAAGGTGTGCGGTATAAAGCGACTTATACTGTAGCCGCAGCTGGTCTCTCTCTCTCTCTCTCTCTCTCTCTCTCTCTCTCTCTATCTCTCGTTCTCTCTCGGCAAACTGTTTTTCTGCATCAGCTGCGTCGCAATGAGAAGCTTTTTCATTCGAGGCTTTACGCAAGCCGATTCGCCTAAAACGACTCTCGAGGTCCGCGATTATAATCCTCGACGAACCTCGGCAGTTCCTAAATGCGTCTAACGCGTTATATGCGGGCGGCACACGGAGCTTTTACAACGAACTTTCGCAACGATTAAAATTTAGCCGGAGCCGCTGAGACTGTCTCGGGAGTATTTTGTCTCGAGAATGCACACGATGATGTTAATAAATACAAGTTGAGTCTTGAATCTATTTTCTCTCTCTCTTGTTATACTTACGAGAGAGTTTACAACGGTTGTCATCAGCATAATGCGGACGCGACAACTCGTCAAAATAGACTCCTCATGTCTAAAACATTTGATGAAAACAAGCTTGATGAGTCTATTTAAAATATCAAGGCCTTTTCGGTAAACAATCTGAATATTTATTGTGATTCGAGCAGAAATCTATAAATTCAATAAAGCTAATCAGCAGAGATGCTTTTCCAATAGCCTTGATAATTTTAATAGACTTTGCTAAGGTATTGTCAGCCGTTGTTTTGCTTTCGCAACACCAACAGTTCCATCTCGTATTATAGTTTCTATTCGACTCGGTTCGATTTATATTCGAATATGGATAAGGAATCAGCCGAGACGACGTTCAGTATTGATAGTCTTTGTGCAGATAAGCTTGTACAGTGTCACGCGAGCGAGAAATGTCATTGTCGGCGTCGAGTTAGTCTTAAAATGGATCGGTGGCTCAAGCTAAAATTTGAGGCAATATTGGAGAAGCCAATAAATTCAAGGAAAGAAAATTGCATTTTCTTAAAACATTTTCAGGTTCGGGCGTATTGAACTTTGACTCTTTCTTCCGTGTGGCGAGCCACTTTCAGGAGGAAGATGCTGAGGCTCTGCAAAAGGAACTCAAGGAAGCTTTCCGTCTGTACGATAAGGACGAGAAAGGTTACATACCAACCAGTTGCTTGAGAGAAATTTTACACGCGCTTGACGATCAGATAACGCCAGATCAGCTGGACGGCATGATTGCCGAAATCGACACCGACGGTTCTGGCACTGTTGATTTTGACGGTAATGGTTTATTTTTTAGTATACTCTTTTCGATCTCTTTTTTTCTGAGTAATTACAATTCACATACTCATTCGGAAGTCGATTCACGGTAATGCTTGTAATGTAACCCTTCGCGCGACGTTAATACAAACGAAGGACCATGAAAAGCTTTGATGAAAGCTAGAATCTCCAAGTTTTTTCGAAATTGATCTTTGAAAAGAGAAAAACATCTATATAAATATAGATATCTACATAAAAGAAAAAACATCTATATAGATATCTCTACTAAGTAGGTCAAAAGTTTGCGTATTCAAGAGGAGTTTCTGACTCATGAATATAAAAAATGACGATTTTTTCCTTCAAGTTAACTCCAAAGCTTGGATCATATATGCCACCGTTCGAATTTTTTGCGAATCTTATGTCAAATCGATGTAAAGAAGTGAAAAATCGAAGCATCTTTGGATGCAGAATATTACCCAGATGAAAACGCTGAGGCATAATTTCTATTTAAAATTTTCTTTTCAATCGAATTTACATTTAACGTTTTTTTCTATAAAGATACCCTGAGTAGGATTGCTCGATAGATTAGTGTTGCGAAGCGCAAAGAAATGAAAAGGCAGCTGCAACGAAGAAGTCAGTGTATCGAGCAAAGAATTACGAGGATTAAACCTTTTTCAGTGGATAGCTAAGTCCAAGTACTACTAGATATTTAATTCTTAATTCGCATTGAAGCTGCCTCTATTTATATATAACATATATCGATTTCAAGGCATCAATCTGCTTTTAAAATAAAAGATAAAAAAGACTTTTCGCTGCTCTCGATATAATATCGTTGAAAATACTCATTTCGAAGGCTTTGATGCATAGTCTAGCGGATATTTGACCCATTTGATCATTCCATATGCCGATTTAGGTAAAAAAGCTTCGATACCTTAGAGTACTTTTCGATCGAAAACTAGAAAAAAAGAGAACTTTGAAGATCACTTGTATTGTAACGTTTGTTTAATAATTGTTTTCTTTACTTACAGAATTCATGGAAATGATGACTGGTGATTAAAATTTCGAAAAGTGTAATCTTAATTCAATGATTTTTAAGCTCAAGTTTCGCAAAATCTTGAAAAAATAGTTACAATGTTAGTAACACGCTTTATAAAATGCAAATGTAATGCTTTGTATTTAATTGAAAGAAAGTGCATCCAAGGTAACGATACTCTTTTCTACCTTTAGTTCTGTGAATATTTTTGGACTATAATAATAAATGTACATAATAACTGCAAAAGGTGCTCAACTCATTTATTTTGTAAGTATAAGGAGACCTTCTCACCTTTGGGTCACGGATCTTTACCAACATTTTTTTGGGTTCTCCAGGAACCTAATAATAAAGCACCCTATGCTTAGTTTAATGAATGGGACTCAGGGCCCTTTTTAAAAGGGGTTTTCTATTTTATTTAAATATCTTTGAGATTTTCTATATCAAGATTGGAGCTCTTAAATGAAAAAATGCACCGATCAAAAGTTTTGAAATGTTTTAAAGAATCTGTCTGAATTTTTTCAGAATTTTTCAAATCGTCCATTACCATTTTTTAGAGGTTTCTGAATTTCGCAAGAAAAGCATCAAATTAGGGTCTCTGAAAAAGGGTAATGGACGATTTGAAAAATTCTGAAAAAATTCAGACAGATTCTTTAAAAAATTTCAAAACTTCTGATCGGTGCATTTTTTCATATAAGTGCTGCAATCTTGATATAGAAAATCTCAAAGATATTTAAATAAAATAGAAAACCCTTTTTGAAATGGGCCCTAAGGCCTATTCAATAAAACTAAGCATAGGGAGCTTTATTATTAGGTTCCTGGAGACCCCAAAAAATTTTAGTAAAGATCCGTGACTCAAAGGTGAGAAGGTCTCCTTGTTAGTATACTTTGCTAACTTGTCGAAACGTAAAACTTATCCAAGAAGATTTGTTAAAATAGGAACATAATTTTCCGCTGCAAATATAACAATATAATTGCAAAATTTTAGCATTAAAACTTATCTAGTAAACATTATTAAGTTATTCATATTATACAATTATTTGATATAGCTTGAGCATATATCATAAAGGTATCGAAAATCAAGTCATTCGAATACAATTAAAATTGCCTGAGGAGGTAGTTATAACCTAGTAATTGAGTGATGAAAGGACGATATAATAAACAAGTAGATGTACAACAGCAGTCTTTTGTATGACTCAATTTCTACATAAACTATGCAATTTCAAAGTAGAATGTATGTGTAATTAAATCGTTTAAATTATTTCACTAAAATTATTTTGGTAGTTATATATATTTTAAACATATGAGTTTATATTTGTAAAGTAGTATAATGCATGGAAGAATATTGTAATAGTAAACAAAATTAGTTTACTGCTTTTTAGTTGCATAATTATTAGCCAACTAAATTGAAATAATACCAGTTCAAAATATTACATGATTTTCAGAGAGTTTGATAAAATCTGAAACGGAGTTGTAATGTTTGTTGGTCATTATTAGTATAATTCAGCCGATTAGAAAATATTTATGACACCGACGTAAAGCTGAAGTTTAAAAGCTCGAGATTTAGATGCAGTATATGTTCCGCACTACTCGAAACTAGTGAAGAAGTGTGTGTCCGGAGATAGAGGAAGCGGAGAAAACATATATCCGTTTGAGATGAACTAGCTTGACCTGAAGTCTTAACTTTAACGCATAAATACACACGTACCTATGTGGTATTATCCTCACTGTATAGGTATCGTATACAAGAAATACCTGCGCTACGCTACCCGAGATTATAAGACAAGACCGCGAATGGAGCCTAGTTAGAACTGCTTAGCGTAAAATAAGAGCCGCAAACCTTACACATAGCTGCTCTACCTTATAATCTTCAATCGAGAATCTAAAGCGATTTCAATAGACTTGACTGTAGTAGTCGGTTTGAAAGAATTTTTCTAATACTTGTATCGATTGCTTTGAGTAGCCAGGCTACATCGAATATACTCGTTCTAAGTTTTGGTGAGCTGTACAGGAGCTTTGCGCGTAAAACAAGATTTAGCTCGTTATACACACGCGCGTTTGACGGCTATTTCATCTCTTGGAATAACACCTATAAAGTTCGAGTTTTCTGTATCTGAAATATTTTTAAAATAAACATTACAGTTGAAGTAGCTAATGGCGGTATTTCAGTTGAAAAGTGAATAAAATTTGGAAAAAAGTTCGCCTCTACATTGTAGTTTAATATTAGTTAAAATGTCGTTTCTTTATTCTCAACGTAATAGTCGCGTTCGTATTAATACTTTTAAAATTGTACGGAAAAAAGTTTCACGAAGCTCCGGAAGGTGCTCATTACAAGCGAATAAGCTTGGCTCGCACAGATTTTTCGATGTGAGCTTTTAGCAGCAGCAACATCGAGTTCAAAAACAATGAGTCAGGAGGGTCACGTTCTTGGCATTGAGCTTCGTAACTCTGTAACCATAATTGTAGAGAACGAAGTATATCTCTATTCATTTTTTCTTCTTTACTCTCATTTGTGTCATCCAGCGAATATAAAGATGACGATAGCTTTGTCACTTGTGCGGAAGGTGAATTTCCCCAATGTTGTTATAAAAAAAGCTCTTTTTGAAAGTAGATCTCAATAAAAATAGAGCAAAATTTCGTTGGTTTCGTAGTTTACCTTATTGTTACTTACGTTCGGTACATCGTACGCATGTAATATGCAATTTTTCGTTCAAATATCTCGAATTTTCGTCTCACGCTACAATTTGCAACAAGCACCAGAAGCAGCGCAGCAATAATTCTCCTACAGCGCATACACGCACACATAAGCTGGCGCAGCCGGTGGAACAAGTCTGTGTAGCTTTTGCAACGGCGTGCAATGTTTGCATCCTCTTTCGCTGATAATTCCCAGCCCGAACGAAACGTTCCTCTCGCTGAAAAAGTGGGTCGTTATTATACGTAGAGCCGACTGTTGTGTGTACGTTCTATACAGTTGCTTGCTCGCAACTTTCGAGTGATTCTATACTGCTGTTATTATATAGTACGTCTGGGTATCCCACATACGTGTGTGTATGCGTGTAAACTGCTTGACGAATATATACATGCATGTATCGTGCACGTACACGAAAGTGCCTCTCGCTGAATTGTGCATGTACGTATATTGTAAAACCGATGCTTGCGATTGCATATTTCTAAGTTCGCGTGTCTTAAATATGAGAGATTTTGATCGCGTGGCGCAAATAAGAAGCTCGTTTATAAGAGTTATTCGAGGCGCCAGACTCGCATAATTCAAACGAGTTAGTTTTTCGAGCTTTTTTTTTTGTTTCTAGCAGCCATTTGGTAATAATTTAAGGAAAATGTGGCCCGTTGGCATGTCAGAACAGACTGATAGACGTCGGATTTTTTGGTAATTTTATCGCTTCTTTTACTGCTTCCCGGGGCACGATCTGATATTATAATGAGAAGATTGATTTATTACGTGTTTTTTTCAACACTTCACAGGCATAATTTATACTTTGGATATCAAGTCGAGTAAAGTCAATTGAATTAATATTTAAAGTTGTGATTCATCAAATCTCATATGTAATCTTTTAATCTTGAAACAGGTCAGCTTTAATTTATATAGGTTTCTCTCTACCCTCATAGTTAAGTTTCTATTGCTTTTTTTTACCTGCATTTTTTCACGTTCTCTGTCTGTCTTTCTCCTTTGTTCCTACTATATGTATCGCTATTATTTCCCTGTCTTTTTTCTTTTCTGTTGGCACCGTTCATAGAATGTTTTATCCAGCTCTTCTGAGCAGATAGTACATAGAACTTTCAAAAAATCAATAAATAATGATTTATCTTTTCAAAAAAAAAAATTTCGTCCTTTCTTGGCTTCGACGCTCAATGAAATAACATTCGATTGATATTTTCTACTTCATTTTTTTTAAACTAACGACTTGATTAAAAATGTATGAAACGAAGTGCTTCTTATCATGAAGTAATTTTAATCGAAAAATAGTCAACCCTTTCTTTCAAAAGTAATGTAAAATTTGTAAAAAAAAGGATATTTGGTAGCATGCTAATTTCATTTCAATAAAAAATGATTTAACTTTTTACAAATGGCAAAAATAATTTCCTTTCAAATGAATTCCAAAAATACGGGTTACTTTGCTTAAAATCACGGTTGTAACTTGTAGATGGAACCCATTTGAATCCAGTTAAAAATAAGAGCCCCACAGGGAATTGAAAAGCCACCTACAAAGCTAGAAATAAAAAAGGAAGCGATCTTCGACACCTCGTCCTCAAGGCGAAGCTGTGTTTTAGTCCGGGGAGAGTGGAAAAAGTAGAGCGTAACGAATGAGTTTTTTTCCTATATAAAGTTGCTACAAAGAAGAAAGTGCCTCGATTTACGATATATTGGTTAATACAATTGTAACGACCAAACAGAATAAGCGTGAAAAACATAAATAATGAACTAGAAATTGCGAGTTTGCAATCAACTTGGCAATGCGATTGTTTATCAGGATGACGAGGTCTGAACGACAGATACGAACTGCGAGCTTGACTGCATCGATCGACACCGTGACCCTTTCGTGATCGTAATGCTCTTCAACATCGATCCATAAACTCGCTCTGTGTACTTGTTACTTAGGAGTGAGCTATAAAATTTGACGTTCGACGAGACTACGAAAGGGTAACAATTACAAAAACGTTGAACGTAATTGAAAAGAAACTTGAATTTTTAAAAGTTTATGAAATTTTATTTCAAAGTGGGCTAAAACAGTCGAAAACGTTTTATTATATGTACAAATTTTCTTGAAGCCTCAAATAGTATTCTAATAAAGTAATTTGATATGAAAGGAAATGCTTGTAACGCGTCAAGCTTTTTGCGTATTTGATTTTCTATTGTATAGTTGTGTACCTGAAATTAATATATTTTTCTTTACCTCAAATATTCAAACAAAAACTTTACGATTACGCAATAAAAAATGAAAATTATTCAATAATTTCCTTTTAATCTCTTTTAAAATTTTAATTATTTAAAATTTTCCTTAAAACTCAGAGATACTCAACTAATGCTCTGAACCACACCAAGGTAAATAAAAGCAAAAATTTAAATTATCTGAAACCGTAATGAAAAAATGTTGGTGGTATTATCTAAACATTTCTCAAGTAACCCAAAAATGTTTAGTTTTACTGTTTTTAGTCTTCAACAATGCTAACTAGCCTGGGATATTACAGGCTTATCTTAAGCTTTACATATACCAGTTTATTGCAGCACATGCATGTGTATGGCAGTCAAAAAATATAAGGGTGATCCTAGTAATTCAAGAGTTTTTGAACAGAGAGATGATGACTTCTTTTCAAACGTTCGAGATATTGCTTTTGAACCGAACTCAAATTATTGTTTAACAGTATTATTGAGATTGCCACTTAATATTTTCCCGAACAATCAGAATGTACATAATTTTTTTAGATGATCAAAATTATCCAATTAATAGCATAGTAATCTTGAATCTTTCGTTAAAAAAAAATTAATTTTTGTTCAGACCTTGGCATCTCCTTAAAATTAGTTTTCTGATAAATGTTTATATAAGTCTATACGAATGATTTCAAAGCGGCTTTTTATTCTAATCGAAAGTAGAACGTGTTATGCAAGAGTAATCAGTACACGTGCTCGCAAACTTGGAGAATTCAGATGATCTTAAGCTTTATTAAATAAAAAAGCTACACTACGCTCCGGTGACTGTTTTCAAATGCATCTAGTGTGCACTTGTCACGTGTGCATTTTCATGAATTTGATTCTTCCAGTCTTGCTCTAGGATACTTGCCATTGTTCACGAGTGTAATTTTATTCATTAGGAGAAAATCTTGCGGCTCAAAAGGATGTATGCACAGCATCACGGAAGCAAAAGAAAATAATCACCTAGTCTTTTGAATAACAAATAGTTGGACAAAAAATTTTCCTAATACTTCTTACACAATGTAGAACATTACGAAGTAACTTAATTAAATTTATAAGATTTCACTTGGGTTAATGCGAGTTCGTTCGTATTGTTATAGAATAATTTTTGAGGGAGAAATTTTAATTGAAGACCCACGTGTTAATAAGATATAACGCGTGAATACACGTATACGTAACACGAGCTACCCTCATTTTCCGTGCCAAGATCTTCGTCGCAGGTTTATACATAAAAGGGTTTGCTCGCGTATTATTTGAATTCTAATCGCTTCATGTATGCACCATCGTTTGGAAAATTAGAGCAGCGCTAGAAGTAGTAGCCTTGCCGGGGTAGAACTTGAACAACGATTAGTCGCGTGTATGTATGTATATAGTCGTCTTAGCTGCCTGTGGCACCCTACAACTTTGCACGGTATGTAATCATACATATTGCATGCACCCGAGTAAAACCCGTTTCTATGGGTAGGCGCAAGACGTATATATCTGTAAAAAATTTCATGTTTTACCACTTGATTGATAGTATGCAGCCTTTTTATAACATCCTTATGGAAAATTTTTTTGGTGACCCGAAAGAAATGAAAATGTAGCTTTTTGTACTTCTAAATGGCGCACAAATTAAAAGTTGAACTTTGCTGTAAAATGACAAATATTTTAATTTTAATTTTCACTCGATGACATTAAACATGCTTAATCGATTGTGTCACTTGTTCGTATTTTTTATAATCATCGATTTTTCAGAACCTGCCATTAAGCAACGAGTTATGAGATTTTAATTAATTGTATGAATAAGCATGAAGTAAAGAAAATAAATAATAATCATAAAAATTAAACAATTGAAAACAATATTGTATAATCTTGAACATAACAATTAAATCATGCATCGAATTCGTTTAAAAAAAGTAGTACAAATCAAACAGTAGTCAGGCTTAATATCACTATTACCATTTTTCGTCTAAGAGTTATTTCACTATTATTGAATTATTTTATGCTCACTGATCATTAATAAAATGCTTTAACATTATAGGCACACTAAAAGCTCTTTTAAAAGCCTATTTTTTATGAACTATTAAAAATTACATCTATAAACAGTTGAAAAATTACTTTCTCTGTGAAATCTTAGCTGCACTAAATAAATAAATACGACTAATAAAATCTAATCTGTAATATCTATTATGAAGTCTAATTTTTTAAAACCATCTATCCACTAAGCTTTATTGAATCAAATTTATCAAATCATTGCTTCATGTACCTGACTTAGACTTCTAAAGCTACTTGTACTGGCACTGCGTGTCTGTAAATACAAGTACGGTAAATTCATAACGGCTTTGAAAATAGTTGACTTATATGAGTGATAACGTAAAAAAATAAGTAATGTTGTGTGTTGGTCAGATAGTATTTATTACCAAAAATAAAATTTTTATTACTGAGAGTTAAAATATTTGGTTACAAAAAATCAAAGCTGTATGAGGAAAAATGCATCGGTTATCAGAAGGGAGATGAATATTTGAGAAAATCTTCATTTGTGCTTGATATCAGGTTGTAATAGATACGCATATATATATTATGAAAGTCACTTATCATCTCTGTACCATGAGCACATTCACAAACATGTGTGTTTAAATTCTGCAGCAGTAACAGAGGATAAACGTAGGCATGTTATGAGTTATGCATGTAAACATTCACTATTACTGCTTGGAGCATTTCTACTCTATAACGGTAAAATTATTTTATTTAATATCCATTTTGTTTATACAGTGCACAGGATAAAAAAATTATTAAAGAAGCTGGTTTATTTGAAATTTTCATTTTATTCTCTGATCAAATGGTGATTTTTTAGTGCTTTATTATGCCTATATATTAAAATCCCTCACCTATTAATCTTAAATTGCATGCCTGACTATTAAAAGAAAATGAGAATTTTCTCTGCTATTCTAAATTCATTAATTAAACTGCCTCGTTCTGGAAAATCTCATTTCTAACATCGTCCCACGACACCAGCTGCGAAACCGCAATTTTCTAAGATTTCGAATAAATAACTTAATTTCAAGGTGCACTTCGGTGTGCTAATCTTGAATTAACGTCTTCATTACTTTTACAATCTAAATAAGCAATTGGGAAACTCTTTTTAAAACTGGTCTCTCGCATTGACGCTTGGTTATAGTACTTAATCAAACTCATGTATTACGTGCATATCTAATGGCGTGTAAACGGTACTAACGTTCATTTCAATTAGTTTACTTTTTTGCTACTGTGTCGAAGGTCTTAAGGCCAATCGTTTGACTTCGTTTATAAGTATAGATAAAGACTCGCAACGGAATTGCTGTGCATAATACTCTAGAGAATCATAACGAAAATTTGATAAATAATTCAAAGGGTCGAGGCTAAATCAAACTTTTCATCGTGAAAAATAGCCTAGAGAGCAATGACCAACACGCAAGTTTTTATTGTTTAGCAAACCATGTAATAGCGATTCTAACTTGGGTAAGGTATAATTAATGCGAGTGGATTGACCTACTAGAAAAATGATGTGTCCCGTACAGTCTCTTCATATAACAATAATCTATGTAAGTACATTTTTGAGGCTACCATGAATACGTAAAACCTTGTCATTATTTTTTACTCTTTGTTGAATTATTGATAGTGAATTAAAATGGCAGATATTTTTTTGAAAATGAGTCGATGAATTTAAAAGTAATTAGTGTTTAGAAAAATATTTTTTCCCACTCTAACCTAAAATACGCAACTTTGCCGCTAATTTTAGGCTCTCGTAGGAAAAAATAGTATCTCAAACTGGTGCAGATATGGTTTTTTAACAATACTCGTTACAGCACTCTCCTTCGGCTCGTGCTATAATCCCTCGTTTTGCTAAAAAACCATATGTGCACCCGTTGAGAAATATACTATCACCAGGGCTAAGTGCTAAAGTAAACTTTTTGAATTCTTTTAATAAATTATACACCCTTATGAAATTTAAGTTAAAAGAAAGTGAAATACAACCAAACGCTACAGCTAATTCTAACGTCTACGAATGATTTTGTATATTCTTTAATCCTATATCCTTTCCTATATGTGACAATATCATGTTTACTTCAAAACTTAGCGAGTAAAAATCTAATAATGACTCACATAGAAAATATCAACAACCAAACCAATAATAACAACCAAGAATACCTGAAATAAATTAAAACAAAAAAAAATCAATGGAAAATTAGTTGGAAAACTAATGGAAAACTAATGGAAAACGGCTTAATTTTGGCGATATTTATAAAATGGAATTTTTACCAATACATCCATAAACTAGGTCATAAAATAGAAGAAAAGAAATTTACTCGAAGGCGTTATTCGGTCGTGATATTATAATTGATGCTGCACGTAGTACGAAGTTCATAAACAGCTATTAATATGCAGCTTTAAATTATTATCAGGAATCGAAGATAGTAATTATCTCAAGTTCACTACATTCGATAAACTACTATGTAAATAAGGCTAATTTAGAAATTAGATAAACATTTTTTTTGCAACAATTTTGATACTTCTTTGAGAAAATATTATGAATAGATTCAGACTTTTGATCGCGCTTTATGCTAAAGTGTGTTAAAAACGGAGTGTTGCTTATTTTGAATGCGTTTGAACACCGGTGTAGGTTTGCAGAACTTTATCACACTTAAGAATGTATGAGCAAATGCGTACAGCTATATGTCTTGCATGTGTACAAAGTGAAGAGGAGAGAATAGACCAGTGAAATGGAATAAAAATGCTGAAGAAAAGAAAGATGAATAATGATAGGTTGTGGCACAATACTCTCGACTCGACGCCTTTAAAGGAGAAAAAGAAAGAGACATATTATGTTTCGCTAGAAGTACGCGCCATGCTCCCCTTCCTATGCAGTTCTCTCTTTCGCTTGCGGGCGAGAATACGACGATATAAATCGATAAAACGATTTTTACTCGTTCGCTCCGCCAGGACCCGGATTTTCGACACAACGCAAGTTAGAGACATTTGGGTTAAGAGACGAGTACCATCGAGACAGCACGGAATAACAAATGAGATGTATTTTTTTTTTTTTTTGCTTTTCAATGGGATTCTTTCAAGACCGAATGAGATTACTTTTGTCGAATAATTTTCTGGGAATATTTAAATAATTCGTCTAAATTTCAAACATTTTTTTTTATCTTTTTGCAACATTTTTCTACACAAATAAAACTCTAACTTAAGTTGTTAGTATTTTGAAATTTAGACGCACGCAAAAAATTGTACAAAGAAAAAAGAGCATATTGATGACCTAGTTTTTTCAAAGCTACAAAATGTTACGGAATTCATTATGAAATATGTCCACAAAATTATTGACACAAGTTAAATTATCATATGCTATAACTAGTGGCAACCCCAGTTGCAGAATGCTGAGCAAATATAAAATTTAAATTCAATATTACAACATTAAAATCAAATACAAATGATGAAATTAGCATTCCTCGCTCATTAAAATATTATAAAATTGCAAATTTGAAATCCTACATTTTGTCGGTGACGTTTTGTCAGTTGGACATTCGATTTTGTAAATGATCACATCGTTTTTATAATTTTTTTATTTTTAGTTGTACAACAAATGTTAGATCTTGTAATCAAAATTAATTATGCGGATTCGTAAATGTGATCATGAATTTGAGTTTTATAAAATTCATGAAGTATTTTGAAATGATCCCTTGTTTTCGAGAACTTTTGGAGCGTACACAATCGAGCGCTGGGACTATTTCTTCATGCATCATTCAGGAAGATATGATAAAGAGCTTAGTTTGAAATAGGCCGTTGCAACAAATTCGTCGTTGGAAATAAAATGAGAGTAATCGAGGTTATCGAAAAAGAGGATTTTTTCGAGTTCGACCAATATACAGGTACTGTGGAACCGATAAATGTATAAAACGAATGTTCAATCGAGTACAGTAAACTCAGTCGAGTCCAAAAGCAGTAGTAATTTTTCACTGGGGGTAAGTTTTATATTATTAATCAAATTTCGTTTACCACAAAAGTTTGATGCACTGCAGCAAAAAAAATTGTGCGTGAATTCGATAAAAATACAAATAAGATAGAAAGCCTCTTGGCTAAAGAGAAAATTTAAATATAACAAATAATCCGCGTACATCGTTTCATATGTAGATTTTTTTTACAAGTCATCGCAGAAAGCATTCGTAGAAAGTGTACGTCGTAAAGCTTACTTTTATGCCATAAAAAATCCACTCCAAAGAGTATACGAGGGGTTTAGATTCGAATGTAGTTTTTTCCAGTCGATACATACATGTACAAACACACACAAACGCGTGACTCATACTCGAGTCACGAGCGAACGAAGAGCCTCGCTCGTCCGAAGGATGTATTTCTGCTCCACTGGGAGCAATATCTGTAAGACAATATTCCGTAAACGACATCCTTCAATATATGTGTTTTAACGATTCGAAGAAAGGAAGAAAGCAGTACCCACTTCTACAACTCGTCCAATAATAACGGTACGGAAAAGTATAAGCGAAGGATAATGCGATTGTCGATATAATTTTAATTTCAATATATATTATATATATAGTTTTAAAAAGTTGCGCGTGTCAGCTCGAAAAAATTTCATATACAGTAGAAGAAAGAAAAGGATTAGAATGTTTTTACCTTGCTCCTATTACGTGGTGCAAAGTCTTCCTTGCTAGGCTTTCGCCTCTTGTCCTTGAGTATCATTCTTGCCGCTGCGAACGCCATGTTTGTTACTGTTTCTTCTCTGTGCGCCTCTTCTCGCTTGCTTTACTTCCGGCAAACTAATCCGGTCAACTTTTGAGATCACAGACACACACGCGTGGACAAAACAAACTCAAACGCTTATGCACACACTCTTCTATTTCTATATCTTTATTTACGTATATTTACACAAGTTCTTCAATTTGAGTTTCAGCTATGCGACCGCGCGTGTGCAGCAGCTTTAAACCTCTCTTGTTCAACGATGAATATCGAGTTTATTATTTAAATATCGACTACACTTAGACTTAGGTCTCGTAGTAATGTATAAACAATCTAGATAATTATGTTATTGACTAGATGTAAAAGCGCTATGAAAATCACAAGATGGCACTCGTTTATGATTCGAACTAATAGCTTCCCCTCTGCGTCAGTCACTGAGCCCAGTGATGATGAGTTGCTGTTCCTTCTCTAAATTACTTTTATCCGTGTTATTTTGTGCGTGTATGTGCGCGTCGTGTCTGGTTGCATCTGGTGACTGTAATCTTGGTGGATGAATCTATTGAAAGTCGAAGCTACGTTGCGTGGGGCTTTATAAATATTGGCTGGATCTTCATTTTGTCTTTCAACAGGGCCAAGTTTGCATCTAAGTTTAGTGTGCCTGCTGAATTGTGGCCATGGAGCTGGAAAAAGATCAAAAGTTCTTTTTTATTATGAAAATGGCTAGAGTAGAAAGGAGACTTTGGCACTCATTGTAATGATACGGTCTTGTTTCTCTTGTAATAAAAGATGATGAAGCAAATCTCCAGTGTAAAAGACTTAAAAGTGATCAAAGCATAAGCTAATAATGAATGACATTTAATTTTTGCGACAAACAAAAGCTGTTTGATGAAATAATCTCTGAGGTAATATCGAAAAGTATTGGGAGTTGTGACAATGTGGTGTATTAGTGAATTCAATGTTTCTGATTAGATGTGTCATGCGGCACTACAGGATGATCGCATTATTGTGCAATAGTGTGCAAATGTTCCTAGTAATGCGTGTGTACACACGAGCATTTGAATTTAGTCCGCGAAGTGCACTCGCATTATCACGCTATCAATTACCGTATTTTCTAATGCGCCACTCACGACACTTATCGTCAAACACGCGAAGAAAGATAAAGTTACAAATGCTTCTCTACTTACATAAGTATTGTTATCGCACGAGAGCCAAGCAGTTTACCAAAAAAATTCTAAAATCAAGCATAATTCACACGCTAATGTTTTCGTTCGATTTGACAGGCTGGATGAGAGCGTACAAACGAAAGTAAGTGCACTTGCTAATCCTCTACAACGGTTAAACTTATGAGTTTTAAGGATTTACGTGTCGGGAGTGTGTCTATACTAAAAACTGCGGTGCGACGCTTAGAGCAATTTTTGAGAGAGGTGACGCGCACCCACAATACAGAAGCTTTTGTAAATTTAGTCGAGGCTCGGTAAGGGGTTCATGCAGAAATTGAAGTGTAAATATGTTTCAAGTGTATTTTATTTCTTAACCTCGCAATTAGTCACACCCAATTTTTATACAAATTTCTCTGACTATTATTGTTTATGTACTGTACCAAACAATTCATTTTGATCAAAATATAATTACTGTTCTCTTTTTTTTTTGTTATGTGCAGTTTGCGAGAGCAATACAATTATAACTAGGGTGCACAATTTTACACACGTAAATAATATCTATGCATTTGTATACAGACATGCGGGTATAGAACTTGTTAAGGTGATTATGACTCGATTGGCGCACTTTCACGTGTCCAGGAATGAGATATTCACTGGCCGATATCCAAGTCCAGGCTCTTTTGTGAGCCAGAGAGAAAAAAAGCAAGAGCCCGATTGCAGACTCGTGAAATCGCGATATACTATCTATAACCCACTTTTATGTTTTTTTTTGCTTTTGTTTCATGTTGTACTTCTCATATGTGTATATTTTAATCTAGTGTTCTATAACTAGAATTTTCATAACATATGGTGCAAAAAGCTCAAAAAATGGATATTTCATAAAGATATCATAGTCACATATTTCATGTACTATTTCGTATACGCGTATGTAAATTTGATGGCACCCAACAATTTAGTTTTATTTAATTTTATTTTTCAAACAAAAAGTTACTCTCATCTCATATTTAAATTAAGACAGTGACAATTACTAACTTTTACTCTTTTTAAATAGAGTCTAAAGGGAAATTGATGCAAACCATTATAAAATAGCGAGATATTCTTGGCAATATGCTTTTACGATAAGTTGTCATTACAATTATTACATTACTTTGATCAAAATTAGATTACACTAGTCATTGTGCCAGCAATCAATGCCACGAAAATCCATTATTGGTTGACTCTGAAATAGTTTAATTAAGTAAATTATCTGATTGTGCCAGCGATATAAAGACATACATCATTTTTATACCAAATGCAGTGTAATTAATTCAGAATATTTTATAAAAATAAGGCAATACAAATATGAATAGAATTTCATTTTGTATACTATGTACGACAATTCATAGATATTATTAATGAAAAACTTGTATAAATAGAATGGCAAATGATTTTAATGATTTATTGACAATCTGACAAATTGGTCTGAAACGATTTTATCCTATTTTTTTTTTACAAAATATATGATTATATAGAATAGAAAGACTTCATAAAAGTCTAATTAATCACTTTTTCTAATGCACTGCCAGAAATCATCTCAGTAAGACATATATCAAACAATATGTGTGTATTTGCACTAACAAACGTTTCGCAAGGGTATTTCATCATTTGATATACCTAAGAACTGCTAAAAGCTTTCGAGTAATTAGTTTGCTGTACCCTGATGACTACAGCAATCTTTTTGTTTCGCGCACTAGTTCAAATTTTATTGCCTCGAGAGACATTTTTATAGCGTGTATCAATCATCGTGTATACGCGCACAACTTTACCCGCAAATGTCAATAGTGATAGATATAAACTATCAAAATTGTGAAACATGAGGCATTTTCATTTGCTTACACGACCGTCGTATTTGTTCATTTACTTTTTTTTATGAACATCCTGAACCCAGAATAAAATTTAAATTTGAGGTTGTGGGAAATGTCAGAAACAAGCAAACAAGGCATCTAGATAGCTGCGCGAAATAATAAGCGCTTCATATGAAGAGAAAAAAGTTTCGAATTCACACTCGAGTACGTGTCTACGGCAACGTCGTTGAAAAATGACATAATAACGCTGAGCTTTTTTACAGTGAACTTGAAGTTGCATTTGTATATGTACATAAGAGGAACTCCAAGTAACATCTAATATTATACTTTTATCAGAAAAGTTGTTGAAAATAATGTTTTATGTCAAAATGTGAAATTTTCCGAAGTTAAAATCTTACATATAAGGCAAGAAATTTCTTTTAATTTTGCAAATATTATTCCTCAAAAAAAAATCTGAAGTATGCAAAAAATACTTTAAGCCACCATAGTGTAAAAATACTTGCATTCCTTAAATAAATATTTTATCATAGATAATTCAATATTGCTTCAGAACGAATCTCGAAAAGCTCTATCGAGTACCGTGTGAGATAGACCCATCGGTATTCACATATGTAGGCACTGGTATATATAAATCCTACGCAAAAACTAAGTCAGTAGGCTAGAACCGATAACACGTTTGCAACACTTATGGGTTAACGACTCGCAGTCACGCGGCACTTTAGCGAGTGACAGTAGTGTAGCGCACAGCTTTGTCTGCCTTTTTACACGAGCCAGCGGGCGATACACGTACGCACACATGCATAATAAAAAAAAACTAGACGAGCCTGCAATACCCTCATACATAGGCTCGAGCGAATGAAGTAATCGACAGGTCACTGGTTTCGCTCACTCGAAATGTTGGTGATGCCCGCACCGGTACGTATGTACATTCCCGGCAGAGCTGGTGCTGACGCGACTCTCTTCTTTTTTCGTTACGTGCAATTAAATGTTTTTGCGCTGCACGGTATAACGCGCGGAAAAGTTTTTGCTACCCGAATCGCCAAGAATAGGAGAAAAAATGGGACGAAAGTCTAGAGCGCGCGCAGTACTGTTTGTATTCCACGAGCATCGTGTTTTCAAACTTTTTCCGTTTTTTTCTAAAAGTAATAGAAAGTAGCTGTAGAATGAGAAAAAAGAAGAACCCCGGCTCACATTTCCAGAAGAATTCCCGAGTCTCAAGAGCAAATTATATTGGCAATTTAATGAAAACTTTTTGCGATATTGTTTAACAACAATATTTCTACCCCTTATCCCGATTTGAGTGGCTTCGAAATATTTTAATTATTAATGGGCATAAAATTACGCGAAATTGAAAATTACCAAGTTCTGTGACGTTGGGAAACTTCTTTCGACTACTTCGTTAACTACTTCAAAATGTAAAAAAAAATGAAAGAAAGATGATTAGCGCTATTCGCATGAAATTATTCAGAAAATTTGTAAAGAATTTCGCGTGAAGTTTTTACCAATAACTTTAACAACTTTTTGAGGAATATTTTCAATTTATCACAAGTCACAATCATTAATATCGAATCTACATTACAAACTTGTTATTTAAATGTACGTGTAATTTTACAGTATTCAGTGTATTGATCCAATTAACAAGCAAGTTCTAACGAAAGCTTTACTTGGGTGCGATCGCCGCCCTCCAAATCGTAGATACGTAGGGAAAATTAAGTTTTCTCTCAGGTGAAACTTTACGCGTGAATGCTCGAAACTGCAAGTTTCACTGAATATCAAATTCCCGGGAGATTTTGAAATTTGATTTTCAACTGAAATATTCTCACTTTTACATCATTTTTATCCTTGCAAATTCCAGTTCATATGTGAAAAATAAGGTGAAAAAAGGGGTTGACGTAATGTAAAGCTAAGGTTGAAACGTGAGCAAGCATAATTACAACTATATCAGCGAGCAACAATCATAATAATAATGACTGTCAAAGCGACCGTACGTACTGAAGAGGGAGACACGAATGAGAAGGTAAATTATCCGGTGAAATTGTCGGCAATATATTGCAATCCATTAGGTTGCCTCTAGTTTATCACGAAGAGCTTACGTTTGGTTGCTGCTGCATGATGCTGGAGCAATAATACGAGGAATTCACTCGCGCGACGACACTTGCTTAATCTCTGGGGAGCTGAAATTTTAAACTTTGCGCTAAACACGAACGCGAACAAAAAAAAAGTTTTATCCGCTTACGATATACTTTTGTACACGATTTGAAATTCCTATTTTTGTTATTTTCGCGAGATGTCCGCGAGCAAAGAGTCTTATATATATACATATCGTCGAGTACTCGAATCATTAACGAATAGAGAGCGAGAGGGGAAGGAAAGAGAGAGAGAGAGAGAAAAGGAGAGATTCGTATCTTTGAACGAGGCGTTATGTACGTGTGTATGTCATGTATATAGAACGCTTGGAGTATCATCGAGGCACACTTTTCACTTCAATTTGTGCGCAAAGTTTCTCGTATATTTAACTTTCGTTAACGCCATGATATACATGCGCGCGCGCGCGTCGGTTCGAATTCTTTTTCGCCTTCTTTCCTTTGTTCCACTCTTTATTGCGATTATGATTAAAAACTTTTCGTTCGTTAAAATCTATCGAGTGGCATGTGCATGCGCTAGTGCGTTTATTCA